GGAATACATGTATATATACACATGATAGATAAATGTATTTATATATATATATTTGTGAATATATATATATAAACAGCCTATATATATATATATATATATATACACATACATACATACATACATACATATTTATTTATTTCTTTGTCATATCATATTATATATATATATATAGGCTATATTAATATAAAGTTGTCATACCTGAAAAACCAAAACAGCACAAACGATATTTTTTCTGCACAAACCAGCACTAACGAGTGTGGCTATTTTTCACTGAGTTTTGCGTGGGGTAGGGGCCAACATCACTCAGGTGCTTTCACTGTGTCTGTAGTTGCCTCGCCGCGCAAGCACGGCTCGCTGGTTACGAGTGCTGAACAAGCACGCGCACTATTTGCCGCGTGCGAGGTGCGGAGCGGCGCGGAGCGGAGCGGCGAGTAGACGCAGGGGAAACAGTATCTGACGGGGAAACGCGGCTCGACGTAACACCGGGATGCGCGTGAACCGTCCAGGACTGACGTGACCCGCGGCGGCTGATGCTAGCGCTGATGCTAGCGCTAAAGCTAACGCTGTTGTTGAGCTTAGTCTAAACTCATTCCACTTCTGATAAAGACACGCGTACACAGGCTAAAGCAACAGCGTCCATGTTAAAGTCAATAAAGAAGAATAAGAGCCGTTGCTCGCCCTGAACAGCTCTGAGTCTGATGCTAGGTGCAGTTCCTGACCTCAGTCTGAAGTCTGTGTGTGTCTTATCAAACTAACACACATAAACACACATATTCACACATATTCACACAAACACAGTCGCTACAGTCTCCGGTGAGTTCCCTGTGACTGAGGCGAAAAAAACCGCTACTCGCCTGGATTGCTCTGAACATCGCGGACCGTCCTCAAACACAAGGGCACCGGGAAACTGCACTTCCGCCTTTGTGGACTACACTTCCGTGTTAGGAGAACTACACTTCCGGGTACGTTTCTCAGCGCAAACGTCATGCCTGTTGTGACAAATGATCCATGGTTGTGACGTCACAGGTTTTACCCACGTGTAAATGATAATTTAAAAAGCGTAAGAAGAACAACCAACGTGATTTTCCTCACTTTATTTATTTCAATCAATCAGAATGTTTATTTCAAACACAACAAACATTTGATATAATATAAATAAATATATACAACTAGAAAGATAGTTTATTGATCCGTGTAGGAGAAATACAGGTGTCCAGCAGCAGAAACACATCCACCCAAACAAACAAATAAATACATAATTGGTTCAGGCCATTTTCTCTGCTCGGGTCCAGAGTAAAATAATGAAGGCTTTATTATCATTCCTCCAGTGGATTTCTGTTTGATCTACTTGGTTCAGACCATGAATCCTCTCTATTCTGGTCTGGATCAGTGTAAAACCATGAACACTGTAATGCAGTAACATTTACTAGTAGAAATAAACAAGGGAAAAAAACAATTGTAAACACAAAACAACAACAAAAGTCCTGGTCCAGTCCTGATCCAGTCCTGGTTCAATCCTGGTTTGTCTCTCAGCTGCTGTCTCCATGAGAGCAGTTTTAATTTTAGCTCTGAGTTCATTATGGATTCTCTGTTTACAAAAACACTGGACCAGACCAGAGAGAGATCAGAGACCAGACCAGAGACCAGCCCAGACCAGAGCCCAGACCAGAGCCCAGACCAGAGACCAGACCAGAGACCAGACCAGAGACCACACTTTGTCTTGACACTTATTTTGACATCTCTGTCGTCAATCCAGACTGGGGAGTTTTTAAAATCAGCAAAATAAGGTAAAAGGTGTATTTGTTTTTGCAAAACAATTTATAGTCTCTCTCTCTGGTCTCTCTCTGATATCTCTCTGGTCTTTTTTTATGCGCTGGAAACGGCAGTAAGTCCTAATTAGCTCTGAAAGAGTTGTTTTGTGCTTTGCAAATGTTATTTTTATTGCTATTTTTCTACCTGAGATGTTGCTGCAGCTCAGTGTTCATGGTTTTACACTGGTCCAGACCAGAGCTGAGAGGATTTATGGTTCAAAGCGAAAGGCAAAATCCACTGGAGGAATGTTAACTTTTTGAAAAATGCTTATAAAGCATTCAGCATCTCACTTTGGCCTAGAGCAGAGAAAAGGGTCTGAACCAAGCGGCTAGACCTCCCCTGCTGCTGTGACCTAAAGCTCTGTTGCATTTTACTTCTATTGTTAACTACTTTTAGAATGAGCTACTATATTTATTTGTTTTGTTTGTTTGGATGGATGTGTTTCTGCTACCACTGGACACCTGAATTTCTCCTACCAGGATCAATAAAGTATCTATCTATCTATCTATCAATCTTTTTGGTCTCTCTCTCTGGTCAATTTCTAGTCTTTAGTCCTGGTTTAGTCCTGGTTCAGGGCCGTCCATCCCCACTCTTAGCTGGAGTAGAGTGTTTCCCGCAGCTGTCTTCTCAGTGGAGTATGGAGTTCCCTGATGACGCTTCTAAATATAAGCGACTCATTAAACAGATCAGTCTCATGATAGAGCTGCAAGCGGGGTGCAACGGCCTTGACCCCAAACACACTGAAGTGCCACAAGCAATAATCTGAGATAATCGTTAAACACAAGTCATGAAATTGGTGAGTCTGGTCTATCTCTGGCCTCTCTTTCTGGCCTCTCTCTCTGGTCTCTCTTCTCTCTCTTTCTCTCTGGTCTTTCTGGTCTTAAAGTCCTTGTGTTATTGCAGATGAGGTCTAAAGCCTGTAAACCGCTGAAGGAAGGTCTGGACCCAGGACCATCTCACACCCACAAAGACCCGAGCCTGGTCCAGACCCCAGACCTGGTCCAAACCATGTCCAGTCCAGACCTCGTTCAAACCCAGTCCAGTCCGGACCTTGTCAAGACCCAGTCCAGTCCAAACCTGGTCCAAAGGAGGGACACAGATGGAACCAAGGGTCAGGAAAAGAGTCAGAAGGAACTGCTCCATCTGTTAGTTATCATGGAAGGAGAGCTCCAGGTACTTTTCTGCTACTACTACTACTACTATTACTACTACTACTACTATTACTACTACTACTATACTACTACTACTACTACTACTTCTACTATACTACTACTACTACAACTACAAGACTACTTCCACTACTGATGCTACTACTGCAGCTCGCGTCCTGATGAGAATCAGGAAGTATGATCACATTAGTCCAGTCCTCAGGTCTCTGCACTGGCTTCCTGTGGAATAGACTTTAAAACAGCTCTGCTTGTGTACAAGTCTCTCCACGGCCTCGCACCAAACTACATCTGTGACATATTAGTCCCATATGAACCAAGTCTGAGGAGCACAGGGACTGGACTCCTGCTGGGACTCTGAGACAGAACAAGACATGGGGAGGCAGTGTTTCAGATGTGAGACTGGCTTTCTCTCTGGCGATTTTCAAATCCAGGTTAAAGACGGTTATTTTTGCCTGAAGGAGTGAGGTATTTTATCATAGTAATGATGCGTAATAATGCATTGTTGTTATTCATTATTGTAATCCCTTTACTACTAACTGTGTGAAAAACTGGTCACATTTCAACAACGTAATCTCTTTAATAAATTTTGTCAATGCTGGTTCAAACTACAGTTGTCTCGACATCAGCACACACAGACAATTTACAGACATTTAGTCCGGGTCTCGCTAGATGTAAAAGTAAAAAGACAACAAAGGAAGGAGACGTAGCTCCTTATAGTAGTAGAGCGTCATGGATTGGTGAAGTCACAGGATGTCATCAATACACATGTCATTCAATAATCTTGTAGACTAGTCCTGGTTAAACTTCATATCTTTGAGTCTGAGCCTGAGGGTCTCACTCTACAGGCTCTTATTGTCCTTCCAGATGTCCACAGCCCCATTGACCCCAGAGAAGGGTCGAGTCAGCTGTCTCCGCAATTGTGCCCAAATGTCATAAGACACAATTATAACCAAGCATCTATCCACAGGACATACATATGCAGTCTCATGACACAGACGCTGCTGAGATGCAGATGGAGGTCCTATTGTCTCCAACGTCACATTGGCCTTAGGATTTAGAGAAGTGATGTCCTGCCATTGAGAGCTGACATTGTCCCAAACATTCCATACAGAAGTAGGTTAACTATCATCATGATTAGACTAGACTTACACACATTTATTAATATGCCAATTAACATAACCTTTCTCAAACTGCTACCACTGGTGCTACTTCTACTGCTACTGCTACCACTACAACTGCTACTACTACAACTACTACTACTAGTACTACTACCACTAGTAATACTGCAGATATGTCCGGAGTCCTGCAGCACCATGTGGGGCTGGTTTTGCTGCTTCAGGACCAGGAGGATTTGACTCATTGTACATGTTTTTGTGGTATGTGAAACCGGAGCACCCAGAGGAAACTCCTTATACAGTTTATTATTACTACTAATGGACTTGGAAAAGAGCTATTCATAGATGACCTACTGCTGTTTAATAAACAGCTCGAAGAAGGACACAACACTGATCAGAGAATCAGACAAGAGGCCCATGGTTCCCCTAGCACTGCACACAGCTCATCTGAGGGAATCTGGACCAACACTGTCACCATTACTGAGGGAGGGGCAGCATCCAGCTGTGGAAGTGCTTACCACACAGAGTGGATTTAACTGTTAATCTGCTGTTTCAGGCTCGTGACGATGTCATCGCGGTGCTTCGCTCACAACGCTGGGGTCCTGACGTCCTAGAGGCTCATTATGGCTCCAGCGCCCCCCTCAGGCCACTGCAGGCACTACAGCGAGACACCGCCCTGAGCAGAAACCCAGACGATGTGTACGAGGCTCCTATGGCCGAGGTGAAGCATCAGGGCTATCATTAGGAGCTAGTGTCATCGGCAGCTAGCGTCATCAGAAGATGGTTTCATCAGGAGCTAGTTTCATCCGAAGCCTGCCTCATCAGGAGCTAGCGTCATTAGGAACTAGTGTCATCAGGAGCTCAAGTCCTCAGGAGCTAGTGTCACCAGGAGGCAGTGTCATCAGAAGCTAGTGTCATCAGTAGCTCGTGACCTCAGGGGCTGGGGTCATCAGGAGCTAGTGTCATCAGGAGCTCGTGTCCTCAGGAGCTAGTGTCATCAGGAGCTACTGTCATCAGGAGCTAGTGTCATCAAGAGCTTGTGTCCTCAGGAGTTAGTGTCATCAGGAGTTAGTGTCATCAGGAGTTAGAGTCATCAGGAGTTAGTGTCATCAGGAGCTAGTGTCATCAGGAGTTAGTGTCATCAGGAGTTAGAGTCATCAGGTGCTAGTGTCATCAGGAGTTAGAGTCATCAGGAGCTAGTGTCATCAGGTGCTAGCGTCATCAGGTGCTAGTGTCATCACGAGTGTGTGTGTCCTCAGCTGGATCTCCTGCAGCAGCAGTATAGCAGCACCTACAGGATGATGGTGGAACAGCTGAATTCAGAGAAACTGAAACACAAAGAGTTTATGAGAAAAAGTGACGACTTCACCAACCTGCTGGAGGCGGACAGGATCAGGTACTGCTACTACTACTGCTACTACTACTGCTACAGCTGCTGCAGTTATAGCTACTGCTATTACTGCTACTACCACTGTTACTGCTGAAGAAAATGACAAATGCCTGGTGTGGACAGACAGAAGACATGTTTTATTGTTGATGGTAGAGACAGAAATAGACAGCAGCATGTGCCACGATGCCAGTGGCTTCAGCGGTGAGATGACCAAAACATTCAGCTGGAAATGTACCAGTTCTAATGATGATTTCGGCTTTAATCACAGTTGCTTCAAAGTGTCTTGAAATATCCAAACTGCTTCTGCTGCTACTACTGCTACTGCTACTACTGCTGCTGCTATTGCTGCTACTGCTACTGCTACTGCTGCTGCTAATATGGGCCAAGTGGTAGTATGGAAGGAGTAGAGGAACGAGTGTCTCACTGGTCTCTCTCTCTCTCTGGTCGCTGATCTCTCTCTGAACTCTCTGTCTAGTTTAGTCTCTCTCTGGTGTCTCTCTGGTGTCTGTGGTCTCTCTTTGGTGTCTCGCTGGTGTCTGTGGTCTCTCTTTGGTGTCTCTCTGGTGTCTGTGGTCTCTCTTTGGTGTCTCGCTGGTGTCTGTGGTCTCTCTTTGGTGTCTCTCTGGTGTCTCTCTAGTCTCACATGGTCTCTCGGTTCCAGGCTGAAGCAGCTGGTAGAGCAGGAGAAGTGGTCTCAGATTCATAAAGATAAAGAACACGTGGAACATTTGGGAAAGCTCAGATCGGAGGTTCTGCAGCTGCGCTCCTTACTGCTGCTCCTGCTCCACCAGCTGCAGAACCAGAGGAGGAGCATCCGGGAGCTGAGGAGGAACCTGCAGGAACGAGAGAAGAGCCTGTCCCAGAGCCTGGACCGTGGAAAACACCAGGAACAGGTCATTCTGAGGCTGGAGACCGAGCTGGAGCAGGAGGCCACTAAGCTCTTCAGCGAGAGAGAAGACACCACCAACCAGCTCCTCACGCAAGACTCACAGATGCACCTCCTCCAGCTGCAGCTTACCCAGTTCTGCAGCACCACCCAGGACCTGCAGCAGAAGAACCAGGACCTGCAGCAAAAGAACCAGGACCTGCAGCAGAAGAACCAGGACCTGCAGCAGAAGAACCAGGACCTGCAGCAGAAGAACCAGGACCTGCAGCAGAGGAACCAGAACTTGACACAGAGGAACCAGGATTTAGAGCAGAGGAACCAGAATTTGACGCAGAAGAACCAGGAGCTGCAGAGCTCCGGCCACATGGTGCTCACAGAGAGAGTTAGTGCAAAGGGCAGTCCCAGTTTGGTTCAGGAGCTGGAGATCCTGAGGGGCAAGTTTTCAGAGATGGCGGAGAAAGAGGAGAATCTGAGCAGAATGGAGTCGCAGTGTGGGGAATTAAGGATGAAGCTGGAGGAGGCTCAGAGTCAGAGCAGTGTCCTAAGAAAGGAGGTGGAGGAGGTGCAGCAAAGACTCGGACAAACGCAGAAGTTAAGGACGATGTTCCTGAAGAGCGAAGCTGAGAGCTCACAGCTGCGTCTGAGTTTGGAAGAGGAGAAACAGAGTGTGAAGGACCTGTCTGCTGCCTTAGAATCTGTCAGAGCAAAAGTGAAGGAGCTGGAGGAGACCGAGGAGAAGCTGGAGGAGACAGAACGAGCTCTGAGAGAAGACCTTTCCAAACTTAGGTCCCTCACACTGACGATGGCCGAGGAACACAAGGAGGTCAAGGAGGAACTGGGGCGCGAGAGGGAGAGGAGTGAGGAGATGGAGGAGAGACTGAGGAGCGAGAGGGAGAGGAGTGTAGAGATGGAGGAGAGACTAAGAAGCGAGAGGGAGAGGAGTGAAGAGATAGAGGAGAGACTGAGGAGCGAGAAGGAGAGGAGTGAAGAGATGGAGGAGAGACTGAGGAGTGAGAGGGAGAGGCGTGAGGAGATGGAGGAGAGACTGAGAAGCGAGAGGAAGAGGAGTGAGGAGATGGAAGAGAGACTGAGGCAGGAGCAAGAGAATGTCTCAGAAGTGACGGAGAAGATGGAAGAGGAGAGCAAGAGGTGGATGAAGGTCAAGTCTGAGCTGGAGCAGAGCGCGGAAGAGGAGCGCAGGAAGCTAAAGAGTAGCTTCCAACTTGAGGGACATGTGGCCAGGAGCGAAATGAGTCTGTGGGGGAAGGGCCAGATGTGGGAGGAGCCCAGCCCTGAGATGAGGACACTGAAGAGCAGAGAAAAGGTCTCTCAGCTGGACTCAAGGTGCAAGGTGAGACCATAGAGAGAGACCAGAGAGAGAGACTAGAGAGGGAGAGACCAGAGAGGGACCAAAGAGGGACCAAAGAGAGAGAGACCAGAGAGAGACCAGAGAGGGAGAGACCAGAGAGAGACCAGAGATGGACCAGAGAGAGAGAGACCAGAGAGGGAGAGACTAGAGAGGGAGAGACCAGAGAGAGACCAGAGATGGACCAGAGAGGGAGAGACCAGAGAGAGAGAGACCAGAGAGAGACCAGAGATGGACCAGAGAGATAGAGACCACAGAGAGAGAGACCAGAGAGGGAGAGACCAGAGAGAGACCAGAATGTGACCAGAGAGACCCCAGAGAAAGACCAGAATGTGACCAGAGAGCAGAGAGAGACCAGAGAAAGACCAGAGAAAGACCAGAGAAAGACCAGAGAAAGACCAGAGAAAGACCAGAATGTGACCAGAGAGAGACCAGAGAGAGACTACAACTCATAAAAGACCTGCGTCAACACCTCAAAGGGGCAGTTTGGAATAAGAATGAATAATAAACAACCTCATTATAATGAAACAGTAAAATATAAATACAGTGCCTTGCGAAAGTATTCGGCCCCCTTCAACCTTTCAACATTTCGCCACATTTCAGGCTTCAAACATAAAGATATATAAAAAAAATATTTTTTATTGGATAATTTAAACCTTTTTAACAAATAAAAAACTGAATAGTGGGGCGTGCAATATTATTCGGCCCCTTTACTTTCAGTGCAGCAAACTCACTCCAGAAGTTCAGTGAGGATCTTTGAATGATCCAATGTTGTCCTAAATGACTGATGATGATAAATAGAATGCACCTGTGTGTAATCAAGTCTCCGTATAAATGTACCTGCTCTTTGATAGTCTCAGGGTTCTGTTTAAAGCGCAGAGAGAACCATGAAGACAAAGGAACACACCAGGCAGGTCCGAGATACTGTTGTGGAGAAGTTTAAAGCCGGATTTGGATACAAAAATATTTCCCAAGCTTTAAACATCTCAAGGAGCACTGTGCAAGCAATTATATTGAAATGGAAGGAGTATCAGACCACTGCAAATCTACCAAGACCCGGCCGTCCCTCCAAACTTTCATCTAAAACAAGGAGAAGACTGATTAGAGATGCAGACAAGAGGCCCATGATCACTCTGGATGAACTGCAGATAACTACAGCTGAGGTGGGGATGGTGTGTTCAGGGTGATGAGCTGTGTTGCTTTTACGCCAAACATATCGTTTTGCATTGTGGCCAAAAAGTTCGATTTTGGTTTCATCTGACCAGAGCACCTTCTTCCACATGTTTGGTGTGTCTCCCAGGTGGCTTGTGGCAAACTTTAAACAAAGCTTTTGGATATCTTTGAGAAATGGCTTTCTTCTTGCCACTCTTCCATAAAGGCCAGACTTGTGCAGTGCACGACTGATTGTTGTCCCATGGACAGACTCTCCCACCTCAGTTGTAGTTATCTGCAGTTCATCCAGAGTGATCATGGGCCTCTTGGCTGCATCTCTGATCAGTCTTCTCCTTGTTTGTGATGAAAGTTTGGAGGGACGGCCGGGTCTTGGTAGATTTGCAGTGGTCTGATACTCCTTCCATTTCAATATAATTGCTTGCACAGTGCTCCTTGAGATGTTTAAAGCTTGGGAAATCTTTTTGTATCCAAATCCGGCTTTAAACTTCTCCACAACAGTATCTCGGACCTGCCTGGTGTGTTCCTTTGTCTTCATGGTTCTCTCTGTGCTTTAAACAGAACCCTGAGACTATCAAAGAGCAGGTGCATTTATACGGAGACTTGATTCCACACAGGTGCATTCTATTTATCATCATCAGTCATTTAGGACACCATTGGATCATTCAAAGATCCTCACTGAACTTCTGGACTGAGTTTGCTGCACTGAAAGTAAAGGGGCCGAATAATATTGCACGCCCCACTTTTCAGTTTTTTATTTGTTAAAAAAGTTTAAATTATCCAATAAATGTTGTTCCACTTCACGATTGTGTCCACTTGTTGTTGATTCATGACAAAAAATTAAAATTTTATATCTTTATGTTTGAAGCCTGAAATGTGGCGAAATGTTGAAAGGTTGAAGGGGGCCGAATACTTTCGCAAGGCACTGTATCAAAGTGAGGTCATAAGAATATGAACTTTGCTTCAAAGGAGGCAGAGTCAGAGCTGCAGACGCTGTTCAGAGCAGAGAAGAAGAAGAACGAAGAACTGAGAGCAGAGACCCTCACTCTGAAAGAGCAGATCCACCAACTGAGAACCACAGAGGACCACAGGTCTCTCACACAAACACACACACACACACACAAACACACAAACACACACACACACACGCTCCACAGTCTCTCCTCCATCTCCTGACTTCTCTCCCTCTCGCTCCTCACGCTCTCTGGTCTCTCTCTGGTCTCTCTCTGGTCTCTCTCTGGTCTCTCTCTGGTCTCTCTCTGGTTTCTCTCTGTCTGGTCTCTCTCTGTCTCTATGGTCTCTCTCTGGTGTCTAACATTGCTCATGTTGCAGGCTCTGTCAGCTGCAGATGGAGCTGCAGGAGGTGAAGAGGAGGCAGCAGACAGAGGAGGTCCCACATATGGACAACTTGAGGAGGTAAGTCCTAAGCAACAAAGGAGAGAGACCAGAGAGAGACCAGAGAGACCAGAGAGATCAGAGAGACCAGAGAGACCAGAAAGTGACCAGAGAGACACCAGAGAGATCAGAGAGACAATAGAGGGACCAGAGAGTGACCAGAGAGACAATAGAGGGACCAGAAAGAGACCAGAGAGAGACCAGAGAGAGAGACCAGAGAGAGACCAGAGAGAGAGACCAGAGAATGACCAGAGAGACGAGAGAGGGACTGGATAGAGACCAGGGAGAGACCAGAGAGAGACCAGAGAGAGACCAGGGAGAGACCAGAGAGAGACCAGGGAGAGACCAGAGCCCAGAAAGAAACCAGAGAGAGACCAGAGAGAGACCAGAAAGAGACCAGAGAGAGCCCAGAGAGAAACCAGTGCTTCCTGTGTTGTGCAGATTCAGCCGTGTTTCTGGTCAGCGTCTGGTTCCTGTTTCTTCTTCTTCGTCTCAAACCGAGAACTTCGACGACGACTCGACAGACGGCTTCATTCGCAGATGTGTCCAGGAGGAGAACAGCTTCATGACATCGCTACAGCAACAAGGCCACACATCGCTACGGCAACAAGGCCACAAACCGGTGCTGGAGCGATATCCTTTGGCGAGAACACTACCTCCGCCGCTGCAGACGCATCAGCCACATGCCCCACTGCGCATCCGCTTCAGCCCCAGCCTCAGCAGCTGCTCCACACTGGAGTTCACCGGAGTCTCCGACCGCCTCAGGGCCTGTCCCACCAGGGTCTGTCCCACCAGGGTCTGCATGGTCCCACAGTCCTCCTCCTCGCACAGATTTTCATCCTCCACCTCTTCTACCTCCTCCTCCTCCACCTCCTCCTCTGCTGTTACCATCGCCGCTGTGTCCAAAGCCCAGAAAGGACAATTGAACGTGATCCGAGTAGAGGACAGTACCATCCACATCCGCCTGGGGGCGCCGCTGACACAGAGGAGTGAGGAGGTCACAGAGAAAAGTTCAACAAAGAAGAGCAGCAGCATCATGATCACACCCACCAATGGGAACGCAAGGAAGGTCAGACACCATTTAACCACTGAAAGAAGGCTCACGTAGAAGAGTCATTTAGCTGGAACCAGAAGTTTCTGGTCTCCCTCTAGTCTTTCTGGTCTCTCTCTGGTCTCCCTCCAATCTATTTTTTCTCTGGTTTCTCTCCGGTCTCTTACTCTGGTCTCTTGCTTTCTGGTTTCTCTCATGTGTCTCTCTGGTCTCTCTCAGGTCTCTCTCAGGTCTCTGTCATAACCTGGTGTTTTCTATCTGTATTGTGGTCTTAGGGTGGATTCGGTCTTTGTTCCAGTCCTGGTCCATGTCCTGTTCCTGGTCCAGTCTGGTCCAAACCGGTTCAGTCCTTGTCGGCCCTGGGTCTGTGTTCTATCACACGAGTCCATGAGTCGAAAGCAGAACATCTGAAGATCCAGATGAAGACCTCAAATCTGTAACATCTGTAACATCTGTAACATCTGTAACATCTGTGACATCTGTGACATCTGTAACATCTGTAACATCTGTAACATCTGTAACATCTGTGACATCTGTAACATCTGTGACATCTGTGACATCTGTGACATCTGTAACATCTGTGACATCTGTAACATCTGTAACATCTGTAACATCTGTGACATCTGTAACATCTGTAACATCTGTAACATCTGTAACATCTGTGACATCTGTAACATCTGTAACATCTGTAACATCTGTGACATCTGTAACATCTGTAACATCTGTAACATCTGTAACATCTGTGACATCTGTGACATCTGTGACATCTGTGACATCTGTGACATCTGTGACATCTGTGACATCTGTGACATCTGTGACATCTGTAACATCTGTAACATCTGTGACATCTGTAACATCTGTAACATCTGTGACATCTGTAACATCTGTAACATCTGTAACATCTGTGACATCTGTGACATCTGTGACATCTGTGACATCTGTAACATCTGTGACATCTGTGACATCTGTAACATCTGTAACATCTGTAACATCTGTAACATCTGTGACATCTGTGACATCTGTGACATCTGTGACATCTGTAACATCTGTGACATCTGTGACATCTGTGACATCTGTGACATCTGTAACATCTGTAACATCTGTGACATCTGTAACATCTGTAACATCTGTAACATCTGTAACATCTGTAACATCTGTAACATCTGTGACATCTGTGACATCTGTGACATCTGTGACATCTGTAACATCTGTGACATCTGTGACATCTGTGACATCTGTGACATCTGTAACATCTGTAACATCTGTAACATCTGTGACATATGTAACATCTGTAACATCTGTGACATCTGTGACATCTGTAACATCTGTAACATCTGCGAGCTTTGAGGAGCAGCATCTGTGAGGTCTTCATGATCCTTAACATATTGAAGTCACAGTTTTTCTGTCACAATGAAATAATAAACAATATCAAGATTCAAGATTGTTTGACATTTTGTTTGAACCATTGGGTCTGCAACCTTTTTATACAATCTCCTGCTCATGATTTATCAGTAACAGGTACAGTATGAATGAGTTCTTGTAGTGGTTGAGTCGGCGCCGCGCAATGATCTATTCCTGTAACTGGCTCTGGATAGGGTATTACTACATTATAGCTGTCCCACCAACGGGCACAGGAGGCGCCCACAGTACTGCAAACTACCCAGAAAAATGTCCCACAGAACCCAACGTAAACTAAAACAGCTGGACCTCAGCTGACAGAGAATATACAGCTTTCACAAAGGTTGGATTTTGTGGGGATGTTAGTGTCCCTTGCCGTCCTGGACTTTTTTCTTCTTAAATCGTTCAGTTTTATTTAAATCTACACTTTAGTGCAACAAACTCTGCTTGTCTCCCGCTCTGGTTCTGCTCTGATTAGCAGCTCTGATTGGTCAGAACCGGGAGGACCAGACGATGCCCAAATATGGGCATATTCTGCTCATCTATGGAACCCAAGGCCCGGCGATCCAAGATGGCGCCCTATTCAAATGAATGGCTGTGCTCAGTGGCGCTTTGTGACAGCATGGGGGCTGAAAGATTAGCGGAAGTTGCCTGAAACTCGCAAAGATCTATGGGAAACTCGCCTGTATTTGGGCATCGTCTGGTCCTCCTGGTTCTGTGCAGTGGATGATCTCCCATAATGCGTTGCGTCAAACACGCGTGTGTTGGTCTCATGGGCTAGACACACGGGAGGCGACATCGCATCGCCTCCATTCATTTCAATGGGACGTGCGCGACATAGCGTCAATCGCTAGCGAGCCTCCTGCTCAGCGACGGGCGAAAAACGTGCGTGTGAAATCCTCCTGCTCGTGCATGTATCGTGCACGCGCAGGTCAGCGACGCGATCCCAGAAAGTTGAAATCGGCTCAACTTTTCGACGCTGTCGTCAAGCCGCATCGCGCCCCGTCTGTCATGTTATCTGAGCGACAGCGTTGAGTTTCGCTGATCGCTCTCATTTGTCGCCTCCCGTGTGTCGAGCCCTTCACACGGGTTTCACGCACGTGCACAGAGGGGCTCGGCCGCGCTCTGACCAATCAGAGCAGTTCATCAGAGCGGGAGTTAGAGCGAGAGCCAGACGAGCAGAGTTTGTGGCAGTAAAGTGTGGATTTAAACAAAACCGAAGGATTTAAGAAGAAAAAAAGTTCAGGATGACAAGGGACACAAAAATCCCCACAAAATCCGACCTTCATGAAAGCTGTAGGTTCTCTGTCAGCTGAGGTCGAGCTGTTTTAATTTGCATTGAGTCCTATGGCGAAAATTTCTGGGTAGCCCACGTGAATTTAGACTGGTTTAGTCTGCAGTACCGCAAGAATCCTCTGAGCCCATGAGTTCTTCAGCTACAAGCTAGTAATACCCTATCCAGTTATTATAATAGATCCATGATGGAACCCCATCGAGCCCCGGCGATCCAAGATGGCGTCGTATTCAAATGAATGGTTTGTGCTCAGTGGAGCATTGTGCCGGCACGGGCGCTGAAAAATTAGCGGAACTCGCCAGGAAATTGCAAAGATCCATGGGAACTCGCCTGTATTTGGGCATAGTCTGGTCCTCCCGGTTCTGCGCAGTGGATAATCTCCCATGATGCTTTGCGCCAAATACACGTGTATGACACTCAAGCACATGCACAGAGGGGCTCGGCCGCGCTTTGACCTATAAGAATTGCCCATCAGTGCGGAGCTAGAGCGGGAGCCAGACGAGCAGAGTTTGTGGCACTAAAGTTCGCGCTGTTTTAGTTTACATTGAGTTCTATGGGGAAAATGTCTGGGTAGCCCACGTGAATTTAGTCTGGTTTAGTCTGCAGTACCGCGAGAATCCCCCGAGTACATGGGTTCTTCCGCTCCAAGCTAGTAATACCCTATCCAGTTATTATAATAGAACATGTCTGTCCCATGCACTACTGACTAGATCCATGGTTACTGAGCACAAGCGTTATTATTATAGATCCATGAGCACAAGCCATTATGTTGAATAGGGCGCCATCTTGGATCACTGGGGCTTGGCACCGTGGCACTCATACCTTCTCCCAGAGTTCAAAAGCTCATATTCAGGGAAAGTACATGCGTAGGATAAGAGAGGTTTCTGGTCTGTTACCTCATGGCCTGTCTCAACCTGGTCTGCCTCCTCCTGGTCTGTCTACTCATGGCCTGTTGATTCATCTGGACCAAAGAGAGAGACCAGAGAGAGAGACCAGATAGAGCAGAATGAAACACCAGAGAAAGAGACAAGAGAGGGACCAGAGAGGGAGACCAGGGAGATACCAGAAAGAGAGAGACCAGAGAGAGTAGAATGAAAGACCAGATAAAGAGACCAGAATGAAAGACCAGAGAGCGATAGAGAGATACCTAGACACTTTTTGATCTCTCTCTTGCATGTTTTTGTGTCTTTTCACATGATTTCGTCCGTAATGTCTAAAATCAGTTTTTCATTTTTCATTTTATTTTGAAATCCTCTCGCTGTCACACAAGCGGAAGTCTTTATGTTGAAGTGTTTCCGCCGCGTGGTGCTTGCCGTTAGCTTGTCAGCCGCTTCGCTCTGCACCGCTCTCCCTCCGCGCCTCATGGACTGAACCATGGCCCAGAACACCAGCCCTTTCCTCGAAGGTAAGAGGCGGACGGCGGGCCTCTGTGTGCCCGGGGCAGAGGCTCGCGCAGGCGGGTTGAGCTGGTCGCACATCACGGTTAAAAGCCCCTTAAACCTGGAGCTGTATCCGCTAATGCAGAGCCTTCAGGGAGGACTAGAGAGCGCGGGGTATGGGGCGCGTGGCGGCCATGTTGGGGGTCCTGACAACAGAAACATAATAATAGTAGTTTATTTACCTGTGCACACAACGGAATGTTTAGCTGAAACTTATATATAAAGGCAAAGTAATTAAAAAGTAATGGTTACATTTACCACATTTGGCAAACTAGACAGAATGCACTCAGACGACTCAGTGCCCACTGCCCATAGTATAAACACAAATCGTAGAAAGAAATTCATATAGATTTTTGTATTTGCCGCAAGAATGTGATCAGGTGAAAAAGAGCTCATGGTTTTGTCTGGTTCGTATAGTGTCCCTGTCAAATACAAATGTAGGCATGTTTTCTTCAGACACGTGAGGACAAATATGTTGTTAAACTTGAACCTGTAAGAAACATAGATCTACATTGAGAATTAAACATCTGTTACATACTGTGATACACATGTGACATCACAGTCACATGTGTATCACAGACATCAAGGTTCAGTACATCTAATCAAAAACAATATCAACTTGTTCAATGTGTGCCAATATGTTATTGTTATTTACTGTTAGTCTTGTGTGTGAGATTTGAATGCTTATCCAACAGTAAATATGAGCAGCTTTTAGATTGAACACGATGTTACGATTTTAAATATCGTCCATATTCGATATTTCTGTTCGGTTCGTATCGCTCTGTATCGTTCCCATGGTGATGGTCGCTCTAGCCTTTCACAGAACATGACCGCCCTCTGGTTAGCTTGTTAGCATCGTTAGCCTCACAAACAGCACTTCTCACTCGTGCCCTGGCTCTGAATAACAGCGTTAACCACATGTGATACAACTAAACTCCCACACGCCTCCCCATATGCCATATTTATCTCATAAAATCAAGATAAAGTGTGTTTTTAAGCTGACTAATGTTGCAGGAGCCTCTGCTTCTGGCTAGCGGCGGCTCTCAGCTGAGCATGTAAACAAAGCTTTGAAACCAATTCTTCACCCTTTTCCTCAGATTTCACACAAACAGTCAGAACGTTTCAGTCTAACTCGGTCCTTGTCCTCAGTGTCCTGCTGTGAATACACTGTGTGTGAGAATGTGTATTTGGATGTGTGTGTGTGTGGAGTGTTGTGTTGTGTTGTGCTGTGTGTGTGTCCTGTCCACACAACACAACTGGGGGGTTGTGTTGTCGGCTAACACAGAGATGAAGTCAAGTGGAGTTAAACATCTCTCATATTGTTGTGTGTGTGTGTGCTTTGTGTTTGTATGTGTGTGTCTATATATATATTTGTGTGTGTGTGTGTGTGTGTGTGTAGGGCTGAAGCGCTCAGAGAACAGGACTGATGGAGGATTTAAACAGTTCAGAGACTGGAGCTTCTCATTGGACGGAGACCAAGACGAGTAAGAGACCAGAGCGTCCTTGATAAAGTTGTGCTAACGCCAGGCTAACCCAGAGCTTCTGTCCTGTAGTTCATTCGCAGAGCCTGTGGTGACAGAGCTGCAGAGACAGAATTATAATATTCATATATAATATTAATTCAAGTGTAATTTATGACTTATGTGTTCAGTTCTAGTTCTGTGAACATGGAGCAGCGACAGGCCACACCCCCAGAGGAGTCCAAGGTACAAATCCCTGTGTTTGATTAAAACTTTCATAGACTATTGTAAACTAACTTTGTCTTACATTGGGGGTGGTGTGTGTCCCCTCCCCTCTGTGTTCAGGCCCCTCCCCTGTTTCCTTCAGGCCTTCACAGAACCTACGAGAACCACAGCAGAACTCTGAGCCGACAGAGAAAGGAGCACATGTGAGACACACACACACGCACACGCACACAGACACAGGTCCTGACCTCAGTCCTGACCCTGTTGCAGAGATTCTCCGATGCCGAACAGAACCAACTTTGTGGTCAGTCCCTCACAGCCTCAAGTCGTGCTCCAGGGGAGAGCCTTTCATCATGCTCAGAGACACACACATAGGTGAGACACACACTAAAACCGCACAGGTGACACACAGAGGTGACACACAGACACACACAGTTGTATTGTCCACTCCTCATAACTACATTTGTTTTCATGTTCAAATGTCCAAAAATGTTTTTGTTTCAGCGAGTTTCCTCAGACAGACACTGTCTTCACCTGTCCACAAGTTTCAAGTAAGACACACACACACACACACACACACACACACACACACACACACTCTGACTCTCTTTCCACAACAGCAGACAATGATACGTTGGTCTTAAAGCGGCGCTTGAATGTCCGGAGGGAGGCACGTCATGGCGTCTGTTCTCCAACAGAGGTCAGTGTTCCTCCTTCTTCAGGATTAACACCACACTATCTACATCTAATGCGACTGTGTGTGTGTATATGTGTCTGTGTGTGTGTTTGTCTACAGACCTGGCCCTCTCCGTACCCACTGCTCTGTCTCAACTGTAAGAAACCCAAAGAACCCACAGTCACCTGCACAAACTGTGGCTCCGCCCCCTCGCCCACACCCCGCCCCCCACTCAGACTGTCCCCTGCCCAGACCCAGGCCCAGACCCAGGCCCAGATCCAGGTCCAGACTCAGCTGGGGCCTCTGCAAGGTCTACAGCCCTCAGTCCATGGCTTCTACCGACCAGTGTCCACGGTGCCAGTCCGCGTCTCCAAAAGTCACGGCAAGAGACCAAACCCACCCAACGACCCAAGTGAGAGCTCACCCCCACAGAGTTCAGTCTGCTCCTGTTCAGTCTGCTCCTGTTCAGTCTGCTCCTGTTCAGTCTGCTCCTGTTCAGTCTGCTCCTGTTCAGTCTGCTCCTGTTCAGTCTGCTCCTGTTCAGTCTCTGCTCCTGTTCAGTCTGCTCCTGTTCTGTCTGCTCCTGTTCTGTGTTCTGTCTGCTCCTGTTCTGTCTGCTCCTGTTCTGTCCTGAGTGTCCTTTGTCTTCCTCAGTCGTCCTCTCCAGTGATGAAGAGGACATAGATCCCAGTGGTTGCAGTTCTCGGTTGGATAACGTGTCTCCTCAGCCTGCAGACTCTGCTCACTCCTCTCCAGCGCCCTCTGGAGACCGTGTAGAGGCTGCAGTGAAGAGTCTGCCCTCTGGAGGCCATGTGGAGCTGGAGCAGGTTCTGGGAGTAGCAGAGTTCTTTGAGGACGTCCAGATGAAGATCAGCCTGCCTCGGCGAGCACGCATGAAGGACCAGGTCAGGACTCGGCTCTGAGTGTGACATCACAACGCACTTGTAAACCGCTTTGAGACTCCGATGTGCAGTGAAAAGGCGGTATATAAATAAAGATTACTTACTTACTTACTACTACTTCTCACATGGTTCAGTCTGAGGACACGCAATACACTTCCAGACACAATACTGTCCATTTCTTCTCTACCCCTCTCTCCAGTTTGGGAAATCTTTCCCCCTCTCCCCCATGTCTCCACAGTTTGGTAAATCCCCGGAGCCTGTGTGTCAGAAGAAACTCAAACTTCCGTCTAAATGTTCAAGCATCATCCTGGAGTGTCGCAGCATCCGCATCGGAACTCTGCGGCGCGCCGTGAGCAAACCAGTGGTGGTGCGTACACAACTGCTACACACTCTCTCTGGTCTCTTTCTCTCTTTCTGGTCTCTCTCTGGTCCTGTTGTGGTGCATTAGTGATCTTACACGGACTCTGTTTCTGCACAGTTTACCACAGAACACATCCAACTGGACACAGAGGGTGAGTCCTGCTTTAGTCCTGCTTTAGTCCTGCTTTAGTCCTGCTTTAGTCCTGCTTTAGACCTGCTTTAGTCCAGCTTTAGTCCTGCTTTAGTCCTGCTTTAGTCCTGCTTTAGTCCTGCTTTAGTCCCGCTTTAGTCCCGCTTTAGTCCCGCTTTAGTCCCGCTTTAGTCCCGCTTTAGTCCCGCTTTAGTCCCGCTTTAGTCCCGCTTTAGTCCTGCTTTAGTCCTGCTTTAGTCCTGCTTTAGTCCTGCTTTAGTCCTGCTTTAGTCCTGCTTTAGTCCTGCTTTAGTCCTGCTTTAGTCCTGCTTTAGTCCTGCTTTAGTCCTGCTTTAGTCCTGCTTTAGTCCTGCTTTAGTCCTGCTTTAGACCTGCTTTAGTCCAGCTTTAGTCCTGCTTTAGTCCTGCTTTAGTCCTGCTTTAGTCCCGCTTTAGTCCCGCTTTAGTCCCGCTTTAGTCCCGCTTTAGTCCCGCTTTAGTCCCGCTTTAGTCCCGCTTTCGTCCCGCTTCCGTCCCGCTTTCGTCCCGCTTCCGTCCCGCTTTCGTCCCGCTTTCGTCCCGCTTTAGTCCCGCTTTAGTCCTGTTTTGACCCCCCTCTCTCCTCTCCCCTCCCTCATTCCCCCCCCCCCCACCCCCACCCCCAGGTCCTCAGGGACAGGCAGACTCTCTGGTCTTCAGGGCCTCAGAGCTGGTGAGCTGTGAATGGTGCAGTGTGAGGAAGCTGCCGGTGCTCTTCTTCCAAACCTCTGAGAGCGAGTGTGTGCGGCTGAGGGAGGAGCTGAGGATGAGGAGGGAGGAAGGAGGAGACTGGATCGACTGCACCTCCTCATGTAAGAACCACATACTGTATGCGACATCATCTAACATTTTATGGCTCATATCTAAAATGGTGAGTGTGACACAAACGTTACTGACGGGCCATAACGTGTCCCAGGAGGAGCATGTGAACAGAACCAAATGGGACCTACAATAGAACCTTGCGGCACACCACAGGTAATGTTTTGGCTAATTGTGCTTCTCTTCTCCCCTCTCTCCTCCTCTCACCAACTCTTCTGCCCTCTCTCCTTGACTCCTCTTTCTCCTCTCACCTTCCCTCTCATCCTTCCCCCCTCACCTCCCCTCTTCCCCTCTTTTCCTCTCACCTCCCTCCTCCTCTCCTCCCCTCCTCCTTTCCTCCTCTCTCCTCAGACCCAGATGAGAAGTACATAGTCCTGATTTTTGAGAATGGTCTCCCTATGGAGCAGCAGGTGATCCTGGAGGATATCCTGCAGGAGATTGCCCACAACAACAACCTCAGACACTTCCCCTCGAGGATTGGCTTTGAGGAGGCCAACCTCCGCCTGGTCAACTACAAGAAGGCCACACAGAGGAAGGAGGTGAGGGAGGAGAAGACCTTTCCTGGTCGTCTTTATGGTCCTGGATTATGAAACTAGACCAGATGACCCTGGATTAAAGGGTGTCTGTGGGAGTGTGTCTGTGTGTGTGTGTGCGTCTGTGTCTCATGTGACTCTGTGTCTCTGTTACAGGTGACTCCCCCCATGACCCCTCCCAGACCTGAGCCTGGTCCAAGACTGAACCCCAGTCCCAGACCTGAGCCTGGTCCAAGACTGAACCCCAGTCCCAGACCTGAACCTGGTCCAAGACTAAGTCCCAGTCCCGGTCTCAGCCCCATTCCCAGTCCCGAGCCCATCTCCAGGACAAGGATGTCAACGAGACTCAAACCAAATGGTTATGAGTCTGACGAGGAGATGACAGACCTGCACAACACCTTCACTGGACCAGTTCTCAAGTATGTGAGAGACCAGAGTGAGAGACCAGAGTGAGAGACCAGAGTGAGAGACCAGAGTGAGAGACCAGAGTGAGAGACCAGAGTGAGAGACCAGAGTGAGAGACCAGAGTGAGAGACCAGAGTGAGAGACCAGAGTGAGAGACCAGAGTGAGAGACCAGAGTGAGAGACCAGAGTGAGAGACCAGAGTGAGAGACCAGAGTGAGAGACCAGAGTGAGAGACCAGAGTGAGAGACCAGAGTGAGAGACCAGCTCTCTCTATCCAGGTTGATGGTGTACCCCCCTCCTCCGGCCACTGGGGGCATCACTGTCACTAATGAAGACCTGCACTGTCTGAACGAGGGGGAGTTCCTCAACGACGTCATCATCGACTTTTATCTGAAGTGAGTCACATGACCATGCACCCTCCAATCAGAGCCATGCACTGGATTCTCACATATAGAGGTCTCACATAATTGAAGTACTATACAACAGGACAGGCACCGTTATTTAAAGTCACTTTTGTGTCTCTCTCTGGTCTCTGTCTGGTCTCTCTCTGGTCTCTGTCTGGTCTCTGTCTGGTCTCTGTCTGGTCTCTGTCTGGTCTCTCTCTGGTCTCTCTCTCTCTGGTCTCTCTCTCTCTGGTCTCTCTCTCTCTGGTCTCTCTCTCTCGGGTTTCTCTCTGGTCTCTGTCTGGTCTCTGTCTGGTCTCTGTCTGGTCTCTGTCTGGTCTCTGTCTGGTCTCTGTCTGGTCTCTGTCTGGTCTCTGTCTGGTCTCTGTCTGGTCTCTGTCTGGTCTCTCTCTGGTCTCTCTCTGGTCTCTCTCTGGTTACTCTCTGGTCTCTCTCTCTCGGGTCTCTCTCTCTGGTCTCTCTCTCTCTGGTCTCTCTCTCTCGGGTCTCTCTCTCTCGGGTCTCTCTCGGGTCTCTCTCTCGGGTCTCTCTCTGGTCTCTCTCTCTCTGGTCTCTCTCTCTCGGGTCTCTCTCTCTTGGGTCTCTCTCTCTCGGGTCTCTCTCTCTGGTCTCTCTCTGGTCTCTGCAGGTATCTGGTGCTGGAGAGATTGAAAACAGAAGATGCTCAGAGGATTCATGTTTTCAGTTCCTTCTTCTATAAACGACTGAATCAGAGAGAGAGACGTCACAACGGCCCAGAGTCCTCCCCCTTGCCGTAAGTCCCCCCCTTGACATCTCCCCCCTGACCTTTAGGCCTGGAGTCTGTAGTTTGGGCCTGCTTCTCAGTGCTGTCTCTCCTCAGGCTGCCGAAGAAGAAGCACAACCGCGTGAAGACCTGGACAAGACACGTGGACCTGTTCCAGAAAGACTTCATCTTTGTTCCCATAAATGAGTCGTGAGTCACTGAGCCTCTGTTTACAGGGAGCAACACTCAAACCACAGACCAGCTCTGTTCACAAGGAGCAACACTCAAACCACACTATGTGATATAACTGAGGGTTACACTACATCTCTATACACACTCTAGGGTTAGGTCTGGGTCTACAGCAGGTTTGGGCCTGGGTCTGCAGCAGGTTTGGGTCTACAGCAGGTTTGGGCCTGGGTCTGCAGCAGGTCTGGGTCTACAGCAGGTTTGGGTCTCTCCTCTCAGGGCACACTGGTACCTGGCTGTGATCTGCTTCCCTGGTCTGGAGCACCCCCTGCTGGAGCAGTTCCAGGGGGAGAGTGTGAGCGCATCTCAAACAGAGCAGCCGGTCCTGGATCACTGCCGGCCGCTGTCCCCCAGCCCCTCCCCCGAGAGCCAAGAGGGGGAGGGGCCAGACCAGAGCTACTCCAGTGAGTCTTTACTTTGGCCTTAGGCAGATAATGCTCCTTTGCCATCTTATATATATTTATATTATACATAACTGTTTCCAGGTGAGCTGCAGAGGATCAGCGTCTGCTACAGTTTTAAAGACGACGATGCTCTGAACTTCTCTGATCACAGCTCCTGCCAGGTGTGAGAGCGCCCCCTGTGGTCACTGTTATATCTACAGCTCCTGTGATCCTTCCCTGTGGCTCTGAGCTCTGCTCTTCTTTTGTGTTCAGGATGAGTGCAGTGAAGAAGGGACTGAGGCCACAGCAGACTCTCTCCACAAACACACAGTCTGCAAACAGTAAGTACTTGAACTGGACCAGGACTGGACCAGGACTAACAGCCGTCTCGTCCTCAGACCCTGTATCCTGATCATGGACTCACTCAGAGGTCCGGCTCGGTCCACTGTCGTCAAAACTCTGAGAGAGTAAGTTTCTCAGACTAATGGGGTAATGTGGTTGCCGTGGTAACAAACTCTCGCATGGACGTCGGAACTATTTGCTGAGAGGGGGGGTGGGTTTTTTGTTGGGAGAGTAGAGTGAGAGACGCATACTTGGATTTGACTGAATAATAACTTGGCATCTTAATTGTTAAGAAAATGAAACAATATAAATCAAGAAATTCAATTGAAAATAGTTTATTTCAAAACTGGCATAAAAAAACACAATTTTGCTGTTTGGCACGTGCGCACTATCAGATACACACACGGCTCCAATTAACTATTATATATATATATATATATATATATATATATATATATAAACTTTTTTTTTTTTTTAAGCTGTAACTATTGAACAATTTAAAGTAAATCGCGCAACACTGACTGAAGTGGAACAGTTTGCAGTCGTATAAGAACTTTCATATTTTCCCAAAAGTGGACCTTCTCTCAGTGACCTACTGATGAATTGCAAGGCTGTAAAAGAGCATTCAGAGGCAGTGTCAGATATGGCCTGGACAGAGCTTCATTAGCTTGTCCACCTCCGACAGCCTGGAGCGGGATTGAGGCTGCAAGGAGCGCAGGATAGACGCAACATGTTGAATCGTGATAACTTCTCGCCCCCTGCACACACGGAGGGGGTGTGGCCGCATCCCTAGTTCCGACGTCTTTGGACTTGTGCAAGTACCTGGAGGTGGAGTGGGAGGGGCTGGGGTGAGATTGTTGCTGTGGTTACAGACTCACACGTCAGGTCCGTGCAGGTACCTGGAGGTGGAGTGGGAGGTGCGCAGAGGCACACAGCGCAGCTTTAACAAAGATGTGGTGAAAGGTTCCAGTCCCAGAGTCCCGCAGCAAGACAACTTCAGCGACTGTGGCGTCTACGTGCTGCAGTATGTGGAGAGCTTCTTCCAGGTGAGAAGCGGCTCTACCCGAGCTCCTGACCCCAGCCCATATTACAGACAGACAACTTCACTGTGGATGTTCTGCAGTGACCTAGACCCCCCCAGACCCTTCGCAGACTAAAGCCTAGTGTATACGCTGCTTACGTTAGCGGTTGCCGTGGACCTACGCAAGCACAATTTAATTTATTCTCCTTGTGGAGTTTTGAAGAGAATGTTGTAATCGCACAACCAACCACACAATGCGATCTCTCAGGAGTTGCTTGAGATACCAAAGCGGTCTCATTTACGCTGCTACTTTCTTCTCTTCAGAACAAAAACAAGAACAAACCGAGCTGTTTGAGATCATTACATGTGTTTCTACTGTAGGTTTATGTGATAGTTTTATGGAATCATTATTTCTTAACTCATTTAACTGTGATGTTGTGAATAAAGACACAGTTCTTGTTGGAAACAGTTATTATTAAATTGTATTCAGCATAAACAGCAAAACAATAAAAGTGGTAAATATCTGAGGCAAACATGAACAATTTATAAGTGCAGGAGGAATGGAACAGACACGATAAGCTACGAGTGCAGATTCAGACAAAGACAGAAACAGTGCAAAACAAACGACTGCAGTTTATATGTGTTAGATATGCAACAGAACTCTAGTCCACAGTCTCGGCGTATATCAGGCTCTGCCATGAGCCCAAACTACTTTTCCTTTGGTTCCTTCGAAGCTTGAAGCTCTCTGCTCCATAGTGCCTCGTCCATGCTCCCTGCAGCCGCTCCGTGCTTCCTTCCAATACACACACACGGACCAATCACAGCGGAGATTCCTTGCGGCGACCCTTACGTAGTTCGAAAATGTTGATGCTGCGCGGCAGGCAACGTAAGGGCCTTGCGGTGACCAACGCGTTGCGCAAGTGACGTCACGTCACTTCCGTAAGCTCCGCGCCGCGTGAGTATACACTAGGCTTTACTCTGGTTTCTCTGGTCCTCCTCAGACTAACTCTGGTTTCTCTGGTCCTCCTCAGACTAACTCTGGTTTCTCTGGTCCTCCTCAGAACCCGATCCCCAGTTTCCAGCTGCCTTTGAACCTGTCGGACTGGTTTCCTTCGCAGCGAATGAAGACGAAGCGCGAGGAAATCAGAGAGCTCATACTAAGACTTCAGCAGCAGCAGAACTTACAAACAGCGACAGACCAGGAGGGTCTGCAAGGCTCCTCAGAGGAGCCTGAGGTCCAGGAATCTGAGGTCCAGGCGTCTTGAGGTCAGGAGTCTGAGGTCCAGCTCACCCTCCCACAGCACCTGTCATCACAGATCAGCCTGTGACCACACGAGGGCGCCACTGATGCCTGTTACATTATGTAATTTAAGCTGAACCATGACTGAGCTCAAAGCATTCACCAAGATACAGACTCCAGCTTTAAAGTGGTGATGTCACAGCGTGGTGATGTCACAGGCCTCAGACAGACTATAACAACTATGTTCTTTCGTTCGGATTACAGCACCATTAATTTATGCTTTATTTGCCTTAATTAAAAAAGTGTGTTGTTTTTGTATTTCTGAAGTGAAACACGACTTTCATACAAACTGTGTATTTGTGTGTTTATGCGTTTGTGTGTCAAGTTTAAGAGTCGGGGACAGGGACACAACTCTGAGAAGACATCTGTGAAAGAAAGTGTTTTCAGATCATTATGTGACAAGGATGAGATTCACAAGAGACTGAAGGTTACACTCATGTAGTAATGTCTCCATATGTGCTGAGAGAGATTAATGGGAGAGAGGAGGAGGGAGAAAAGGTAGGGGGGAGAGAGGAGGATTCTCTTTATTCAGACTGAAGTGACACTCTGACCTTACAGCTGAAATGTGTTCATAAAAAGTTCATAATCTGTTAAAAAATAACACTAAACATATGTTTTTTTCCTGGTTGCGTCATTACGTCACAGAACGGGGCGCGTTGCCAGATCAGGTTTTTATTTTGAGCCTTTTAGCGTGTGAATTTGTGAGTCACGTGATCGATTTGTGAAAGGTGCCGTCTGGAACAGTTTACACTGGACACAGGAAGAACGGTCAGTCACAGGTATTGGTATTAGTATTATTGTGTAGTATAATTGTCATTACACACATACTACACTTCAGCTGCGCGAGGTTTGAGTCCAAGGCGCGTGATTCCCCCTCAGACCTGGCGCCCTCTGGAAGCAGCACAGCGGGGCGGGGCTCAGCGTGAGGCCGAGCACAGCGCCTCCTCTTCGGCCACAGATTGTCCCATCTCCCGCTGACTCTCTGGAGCTTGTGGAGCGGAGGAGCGACGAGGGAGTGGTCTGACCGGAGCCTGCAGGACTGTCCCCAGCCCTCACACACACATACACCCAAACACCGAGGCCTCACGGAGCTCCCCAGCCCAGGTAAGAGACGCTAAAGCCGGGCAGCTAGCCCCGACCTGCGCTCTGCTCTGTCCCGCTTATGCAGGCTTTACTCCGGCCAAAACAATCCAATTACTGGCCTCCTGCTGCCTCACACACGCCCAGAGCTCCAGGGCACCACCACAGGACACACAGCTACAGCTATATTATTTACAAGTGAACATTTAATGAGTTATTCAACCATTTCATCCACAAATCACAGCCTCACTGTCTCAGGACCGAGCGTCCATAGCAGAACATCACTTTTTAACCGTTTCTTGGTCCGTAAACAGCGGGAGTGAGTCTGATGTGTTTCTGATGTGAGTTTAAGAAAGTTTAGGACTCAGACTTGACTTCGGCTTCGGCTCACACCCAAAACCATCACGTTGTTTTTGTTAATGTTCAACCTGCGGTGTCATTCTGCTGAACAGTGCTTTTGCAGGAGTCACGCGGACTCTTCCTCTTGTTCGTGAATCCGGATTAAAAACATAAAGGTTCTGTCCGTAAATCTGTGCTGACTCAGCGGCACGAGCCCTGCACGAGCCCCACGGAACAAGGAAGAGCGCGCACCTGAGACCGCGGCTTCTTCTGCGGACTTTGACCTGGCTCGGTCTGGGTCTGTGTCTGTGGGCAGAACAAGCATCTGTTCTAACAAAGGACAATCACTGTGGGACACACAGGGACATACAGGGACACATAGGGACACATAGGGACACACAAGGACAATAATACGCAGGGACGTTATTAGTTTGTGTGTGTGTTATTACAGTTTGCTTGTTCTCCCTGTTTCTGCGTAGGTTTGCTCCAGGTGCTCCGGTTTCCCCCATCTCTAAAAACATGTACATTAGTCTGAACGTAATGAGTGGGTTGTGATGGAGGCTTAGATGGAGTTTTGATGGTTGGTCTGTACCTTGGTCTGTAAAATGCGCTATATAAAAAAACATTACTCACACGTTTTAACAACAGAAGCATCAGCTCAATCAGGTCTGACTCCAGTTTCAGACCTGGTTCAGACCTGGTTCAGACCTGGTTCAGACCTGGTTCAGACCTGGTTCAGACCTGGTTCAGACCTGGTTCAGACCTGGGGTTACATAATCCTTTTATGATGTCTGTTGTGGTGGAGTTTCTTTTGTCATTTTGTTCATTCATGAAACTTCAAAGTATGTCATGCGGAACGAGACTGTCTCTGTGCGGTCTGGACCCGGTCTGGACCCGGTCTGGACTCGGTCTGGACCCGGTCTGGACCCGGTCTGGACTGTGGACTGGGAGGAGTTTTTATGAGCCCAGAGTCCAGACGTATGACAGAGCTCACACCTTTGTGTTTAAAGAAGAGGGAGAGAGAGAGACCAAAGAGCGGGAGACCAGAGAGGGAGAGAGACCAGAGAGGGAGAGAGACCATAAGGCCATAAAAGTTCTTCTGACTTTAAGTAAAGGTGTCTGTTGGAAACACATGTGTCAGGACCTGTTCTAACCCCATGGTTCTAACCCACAGACCACACTCAGACAGGTCTGAAAATGACTGGGATTAGACCTGTGTGTGTGTGTGTGTGTGTGTACACCTGTCTGTAAAAGTGTGTACCTGTGTGCAGGAGCAGGATGGAGGATGGGAAGCCCGTGTGGGCACCTCACCCCACAGACGGGTTCCAGCTCGGGAACATTGTGGACATCGGCCCAGACTCTCTGACCATAGAACCTCTGAAAGGAGGAGCAAAGGTAGACCCTCTCTCTGGTGTCTCTCTGGCCTCTCTCTCTCTGGTCTTTCTCTCTGGCCTCTCTTTTGCTTCTCCAAATATTTCTCAATACAATGAGTTAACAAGATAAAGTGGCACTAACTGTATGGAAAAACATAAAATTTAAAAAATCCACTTTAAAGGAATAGGCCACCGTTTTTACATACTGACACATGTTCTTACCTTAGACTAGTTGATCTGTACCTGTCTGGTCTGTGTCCGTGCGCTCTGTCATGCAAGCGGAGCACAAACGCAGCCTCTTCCACAGACTGTATAGTTCCAAATCAGCTCCCGTTATAAGCTCCCAAACTCTTCCACGTGTTCCCTATTTAAATACAGTTACGTGACGTGTTACACTACAAAGTATAGTAACACAGAAATGTAACATGTCCATTTTCTCAGCGGATAAAAAGGGGAACTATATTGTGAGGCGTAATAATACGAGGAGCACTACGTCCGTGCACTAACTCCAAGTCATGCTGCTTCTATTGACGGAAGTGAGCGGGAGAGAAGTCTTTAGGAATTAGTGCGCGGACGTAGTGCTCCTCGTATTATTACGCCTCACAATACTGTGTTACTATACTTTGGTTACAGGTACATATCAACTAGACTAGTAATGTAAACACGGTGGCCTATTCCTTTAAGCCAAAAAAGTCAAATAATGACTTACAGGGCTCTTAAAGGTATGTGGGAGTATTTTCTACATCCAAGTGGATCATCTAGGCTATGGGCCCTCCTAATTGTCAATCATTCTCGTGATATGTGAGACATGTTCTCTCTGAAGAGGGCGGTTCTTTCCTAAAATTCTGAAGTATGCAAAATAAAAACCAGGACGCCTGTTGTGGTGTGTTCTGTTTGATTAGTTCACAACATTCTGCTTTTGTGCACAACCAGCATGTATTGTTAATGCCATGGAAAATGTAGGTGCCCTAGCTTTAATTCTTGGTGTTGGTTTGGTTGCGCTTCGGTAGAGACACTGAGGAAAAACGGGGGAGACCCAGGGGAGACCCGCACCTGCAACAAGCCACGTTACGACTGCACTCACAGAGCTGTTGTCAAAGCGGCCGCAGCTGCCCCGGGTCAGAATGGAGGATGTAGAATCCTGTTCGAGCACGTGCCCGCGGTCCCACATTTAGCAGAAATTACATTTTCAGCGGAAAAAAAGTTGGAAATCACGGATTCGTAGAATATTCTTTTCCATGGTTTATCCTGATGCATTTCATTGATCCAGAGAATTGACCAATGAAAAGAATTGAAAAGAAACACGTGTCCGCTCCCAGCTCTAGAGGTAGAAATGGGGGATTGTGCTCCCGGCCTGAATGGGTTAAAGTAATACTGCTGTGAGCTAAAGATCACTCTGCTCTGGTCTCTCTCTGGTCTCTCTCTGGTCTCTCTCTGGTCTCTCTCTGGTCTCTCTCTGGTCTCTCTCTGGTCTCTCTCTGGTCTCTCTTTGGTCTCTTTGGTCTCTTTGGTGTCTCTGGTGTCTTATAGTCCTTGTGTGTGTGTTTCAGCCGTTCCTGGCTCAGATAAACCAGGTGTTTCCAGCTGAAGATGATGTGGACAAGCACGTGGAGGACAACTGTGAGTCTGACCCCTGACCTCTGACCCCTGTCCTCTGTCCCCTGACCCCTGTCCTCTGACCCCTGACCCCTGTCCTCTGACCCGCAGGTTCTCTGATGTACCTGAACGAGGCCACGCTGCTGAACAACGTCAAAGTGAGATACAGCAAAGACAGGATCTACGTAAGTCTCACCACAGACACACCCCACAGGGTCAGATAGTGACTCACAGGGCCCAAAGGGTCAGATAGTGACTCACAGGGCTCTGTCTTACATTAAATAAATGAGATGAAGACTCCAGTAGTGATTCAGACAGGCCTGGCCTGGCCTGGCCTGGTCTGGTCTGGTCCTCTTCACGCTGCTCTGTTGCAGACGTATGTGGCTAACATCCTGATTGCCGTGAACCCGTACTACGACCTCCCGAAACTCTACTCTCCAGAAACCATCAAGCAGTACAGAGGGAGGAGTCTGGGGACACTGCCCCCCCATGTGTACGCTATAGGTACTGCAACTACTGCTACTGCTGGTCTCTCTCTGGTCTCCAGTCTCTCTCTGGTCTCCAGTCTCTCTCTGGTCTCTCTCTGTTCCCTCCCTTGTCTCTGGTCTCTCCCTGGTGTCTTCCTGGTCTTGATCGCTGGTGTCTTACAGCTGACAAAGCGTACAGAGACATGAAGGTCCTGAAAATGAGTCAGTCTATCATCGTGTCGGGAGAATCAGGAGCTGGGAAAACTGAGAACACAAAGTTTGTACTGAGGTCAGAGACACAACAGACACACACACACACACACACACACACACAGAGAGTACACAGACACACACACACACATACACACACACACACACACACACACACATAGACCTGTAGTCTTCACTGCTGCCACCAGAGGGAGCTGCTGGCCTTAAGTTCACATCTGCAGACCCACTTACCCTTTGAGTACTCCAGTACAGTAGGACAGACCAGGACAGTTCTCGAGTAGTAACTTTTTGATATTAAACTGTTCTCAGATATTTGACCACATCATACGGAACAGGACAAGACATCGACGAACGCATCGTGGAAGGTAAGGTTAAAGCTGGGGTCTGTGACTTTAGTCTCATAAATAACACATGTTTAAAGCTGGGGTCTGTAACTTTAGTCTCTTAAATAACACATGTTTAAAGCTGGGGTCTGTAACTTTAGTCTCTTAAATAACACATGTTTAAAGCTGGGGTCTGTAACTTTAGTCTCATAAATAACACATGTTTAAAGCTGGGGTCTGTAACTTTAGTCTCTTAAATAACACATGTTTAAAGCTGGGGTCTGTAACTTTAGTCTCATAAATAACGTGTTTAAAGCCGGGGTCTGTAACTTTAGTCTCATAAATAACACGTGTTTAAAGCTGGGGTCTGTAACTTTAGTCTCATAAATAACACATGTTTAAAGCTGGGGTCTGTAACTTTCTCTCCCCTCCTTCCTCCTTCAGCGAACCCTCTGCTAGAGGCTTTTGGAAATGCAAAGACTGTGCGCAACAACAACAGCAGCCGCTTCGGGAAGTTTGTGGAGATTCACTTCAGCGACAAGGTCTGTTCATCTGAGGCAAAATGTCTGTTCATATGAAGCAAAATCTGTATGTCTGTACATCTGTGTCCGTGTGTGAGTGTGTGTGTGTCATGGTTTATTCAAGTGCAGCTCATTAGACTCGTGTTTATTTGTCCTGGTTCTAAAAGCTCTGGAGACTCGACACCAGAGTCAATACCAACTTCAGCTTCAGAGCGAGAGACCAGAGAGGGAGAGAGACCAGAGAGGGAGAGAGACCAGAGAGGGAGAGAGACCAGAGAGGGAGAGAGACCAGAGAGGGAGAGAGACCAGAGAGGGAGAGAGACCAGAGAGGGAGAGAGACCAGAGAGGTAGAGAGACCAGAGAGGTAGAGAGACCAGAGAGGTAGAGAGACCAGAGAGGTAGAGAGACCAGAGAGGTAGAGAGACCAGAGAGGTAGAGAGACCAGAGAGGTAGAGAGACCAGAGAGGGAGAGAGACCAGAGAGGTAGAGAGACCAGAGAGGTAGAGAGACCAGAGAGGGAGAGAGACCAGAGAGGGAGAGAGACCAGAGAGGGAGAAAGACCAGTCACATAGTATAGAGGATGTGCGTGTGACGCTACCCACAATTCAGAGCGACTGGTAGGTGACTTTCTGCGGTCATATTGGACCGCAGAAAGCTGTCATGAGGCTGTTGTACAAACACTAGTGAATGCTTGAAATCGAGTGATAATTCCTCGCTAATTTTGGCCTGAGGCAGGCTGGAAATCCTGGAAGTGGAGCCTGGAACTGTCTGAGTTGCAGCTTCATATAAGTCGTCGAAATGGGTAAATCGTGTTTTGTGGTAAAGGAAACTGGAGAAGAACAGAGGAACAAGGAACGAGACACGGAACAGAACTGAGGCGTGAGTTGGAGTGCAGCGCGCAGAGGACCAGATCCAAGCGCATCCACACTGGAGTCCAGCAAAGACCACATGCAACTACAAAGCTGAGCAGAGCAGCGGGCCTCTCAATACAACACTCACTGAAGCAGAGTATAAGCTGGGACCGCGACGCTGGGGCTCAGCCTGACCGGAGCGGCACGGAGCGGTCTCCACCGTACCCCCGACCCTCCATCGGAGGCACGCGGAATGAGTGCAGCTGGTTGCGGGATTGCCCCTAAAGACTGTAAATGTGAATTTGTTTTTAAACAGTTATTGGTTGGTTCGCATCCGGCATAATTCGTGTGAAAAAAGCAAACTTCTCGGCCCCTCTAGAAGCTGTGTTGAAGGATGATTTGTTCACAAGTACTCGTCGGATCAACGAGCTGTAACACTGCTTTTGGCAGTAAATACAGATCATCAAATCCTTGTGGGATATCCTTAAGTCCAACAGCATACTCAGAAAGTGGTAAATGGGGGCTGAAATTCAGCCACGATACAGCACGTTCTAGATAGAGTATACAGCTGTCAAATTTTCTGCAGTCAAATATGGCGGCACAACTATCAGTCGCTATAAACCATGGGTAAATAGTGACATCAGTGCCTATTGTCTGTTGTCCTGGTGTGAGGTGAGGGTAGTGTTCTAACCTCTTTCCTTTGGACCACATGTAACAGCGACCAAGAAAATGCATGGGTTTTTATGTACCGTATTTTTCATTTTTCATAGTTTGGCCGAGGATGTGACTTTTACTCTGGAGCGACTCGTGTGAAATTATAAGATTTTATATAATGATGTTTTTATTTGATTTTGTGATTGGGTGTGACACTGATTCTTTGGTAAACTTGTAGCACGTTCTATGCTAAAGTTATTTTAATTATTCTTACTGTATTATGTTACGGTAATAAACCAGAACGTACACTTATTTAGCCTGTTGTTCTCGCTTCTATTTTTATTTTGAATTGCCTTTCAAGATGAAATGTCTATTCTTGGAGTTGATTTTATCGAATAAATTTCCCCCCAAAAATGCAATTTATTACTCTAGTGCGACTTGAGTTATTTTCCTTCTTTATTATGCATTTTCTGCTGGTGCGATTTGTACTCCTTATAAGCCCAAAAATACGGTATGCATTACAGCTCTATTTATTCATGTACTCTCTTTCTCGCTCCTCTCTCTTTCGCTGTCTCTGTCCTGTAGAATGCAGTGGTAGGAGGGTTCGTGTCCCACTACCTCCTGGAGAAGTCCAGGATCTGCACTCAGGGCCCCGAAGAGCGGAACTACCACATCTTCTACCGTCTGTGTGCTGGGGCCCCTGAGGACATGAGGCAGCAGCTGCACCTGCAGGGCCCCTCCGCATTCAGGGTAAGGTCCAGGAGCTAGTTAATCAGCAGTTAGTGTCTGTGTAGGGCTAACACCAGGAGCTAGAATCAGCAGTTAGTATCTGTGTAGGGCTACATCAGGGGCTAGTGTCTGTAGAACTAACATTAGGAGCTAATGTCTCTGTAGAGCTACATCAGGAGCTAGTGTCTGTGTAGAGCAAACATCAGGGGCTAGTGTCTGTAGAACTAACATTAGGAGCTAATGTCTCTGTAGAGCTACATCAGGAGCTAATGTCTCTGTAGAGCTACATCAGGAGCTAGTGTCTGTGTAGAGCAAACATCAGGGGCTTGTGTCTGTGGAGCTAACATTAGGAGCTACACTTATGTCTGTTGCAGTACTTGAACAGAGGATGCACAAGATTTTTCGCCTCCAAAGAAACGGACAAAAAGATTCAACAGAAACTGAAGAGCTCAGAGGTGAGGACAGGTCACTTTACCTCTATAACAGTCACATGACACACACATGTGTCTATAACAGTCACATGACACACACATGTGTCTATAACAGTCACATGACACACACATGTGTCTATAACAGTCACATGACACACACATGTGTCTATAACAGTCACATGACACACACATGTGTCTATAACAGTCACATGACACACACATGTGTCTATAACAGTCACATGACACACACATGTGTCTATAACAGTCACATGACACACACATGTGTCCATAACAGTCACATGACACACACATGTGTCCATAACAGTCACATGACACACACATGTGTCTATAACAGTCACATGACACACACATGTGTCTATAACAGTCACATGACACACACATGTGTCTATAACAGTCACATGACACACACATGCGTCTATAACAGTCACATGACACACGTGTCTACATAAGTCACATGACACACGTGTGTGTCTATAAGTCACATGACACACGTGTGTGTCTACATAAGTCACACAAAACAGAGCAGATTACATTCTTCTTGTTCCTTCTCACTTCCTTCTTTCATTCTCGTTTCCTTCTTGATCTAAATTAATGTTTTAGCCGTTGACACATTTTGCAGTTTCTCCTCAATTATAAAAGTGAAAAGTACAGAAGGTATCAATTATGCGAGTCCCACTTTCACTTAATTATGTTGATCTCACACCACAGTTATGTTAATTTGTTGTGAACTTTCAGAAATATCTACATTTTTGAAAAACTGGTCTCTGGTCTGTTGTCTCTGGTCCCTGGTCTCTCTCTCTGGTCCCTCTAGTCTCTCTCTGGTCTCTGGTCTCCATGGTAACAGTGGTTTCTGGTCTCTGTAGCACAGTAAGGCCGGGCCCCTCTCAGACCCTCTCCTCGATGACCACCTGGACTTCAACAGAATGAGTGACGCCATGAAGAAGATCGGTCTGAACCAGAGCGAGATGCTCGACCTGTTCCGGACCGTGGCCGGAGTCATGCACCTGGGAAACGTGGACTTTGAGGAGGGAGGCAGCACCTCCGGTCAGTGTTCCTGCAGCTCCTCCTGCTCCTTCTCCTGCTCTTCCTCCTGCTGCTGCTCCTGTTTTAGACCTGCTTTTGGTCTGCATTAGACCTGCTTTAGTCCTACTTTACTCCTGCTTTAGTCCTGCTTTAGTCCTGCTTTAGTCCTGCTCGGTCATCTCTCAGTCTATCCACTCATTTTACAGGCCTATGGTTCAGACCTTGTTCAGTTCTGGTTCAGTCCTGGTCCCGGGCTGTGTGGGAGTTTGTCCTTGTGGTGGTTTCCATGGTAATGGCTGAAGCACCAAACCCTTGAGGTTTTAAACCATGTCACGATGAGAGCCTGTAACCACGACAACGGCAGACACTCAGATCACGCCCCTCTCCTCTTCTACCCCAGGGCAGCTGTGGCTCACACACTCTCTCCCCCTCTCTCCCTCTGAGGGTTTTGTCCTCCAGCCTCAGTCTCTAAACCTCTCTCTCTCACCTGTTCTCCCCCCCTCTCCCTCAGGGGGTTTTTTCCTCAGGCCTCAGGCTCTAACCCTCTCTCCCTCTCTCCCCCTATCCCTCAGGGGGGTTTTTCCTCAGGCTTCAGGCTCTAACCCTCTCTCTCCCCCTCTCTCCCTCAGGGGGGTTTTTCCTCAGGCTTCAGGCTCTAACCCTCTCTCTCCCCCTCTCTCCCTCAGGGGGGTTTTTCCTCAGGCTTCAGGCTCTAACCCTCTCTCTCCCCCCTCTCACCCCTCTCCCTCGGGGGGTGTTTCCTCAGGCTTCAGGCTCTAACCCTCTCTCTCCCCCTCTCTCCCTCAGGGGGGTTTTTCCTCAGGCTTCAGGCTCTAACCCTCTCTCTCCCCCTCTCTCCCTCAGGGGGGTTTTTCCTCAGGCTTCAGGCTCTAACCCTCTCTCTCCCCCTCTCTCCCTCAGGGGGGTTTTTCCTCAGGCTTCAGGCTCTAACCCTCTCTCTCCCCCCTCTCCCTCGGGGGGTGTTTCCTCAGGCTTCAGGCTCTAATCCTCTCTCCCCCTTCTCCCTCAGGGGGGTGTGTTCTCAGGCCTCAGTCCTCAGAGTCTCTTCAGTTCTGTGCTGAGCTGTTGGGTTTGGAGCAGGACGACCTTAGGGTCAGTCTGACCACACGAGTCATGCTGACGACTGCAGGGGGCACCAAAGGAACCGTCATCAAGTAAGTCTGACCACACCCGTTACACCTATCACTGTTGAGCTGTGTTCAGACTGGATCATGCGTTTCAATGCAAAGTAAATGGTGGCGTCCTTCCATGCGAGGAATTGCATGGATGTCGCGGCACATTTATCTGGCGCAGAAGACGCCTTGTTGCGGCGTAGCAGAGGTGGTTTTGTACATGCATCATGCAGCACACAATCAGAGAGAAGCAAAGTGGACATATGCCGGTCAAAAACAGGAAAATGTAGGCACTCAAAAACAACCAAAACAGGAGCTAAACCAGGATTAAACCAGTACTGAGGATGGGGGAGACATATGTCTTCACTTTGAGTTGACATTCTACTGTGACTGTAAACAAGTGCTGCTAACGTGTTCCCTGATACGGAAGTACCCACTTCTGCCCTGTGTTGGGGAAAAACGTACAACAGATTGATTAAACTCATGCAGCTGAGACTTATTGAACGTACGACCATGCATCTGTGGTGGGAGCACAGCTTTACACCTGTGACTGTTACACCTAAGGCAGCTGTTTTTATATGGTACACATATATTCATGGTGACACAGCCTCACAGTCGTCATGGTGACACAGCCTCACAGTTGTCATGGTGACACAGCCTCACAGTTGTCATGGTGACACAGCCTCACAGTTGTCATGGTGACACAGCCTCACAGTTGTCATGGTGACACAACCTCACAGTCGTCATGGTTACACAGCCTCACAGTCGTCAGTCGTCATGGAGACACAGTGTCACAGTCGTCATGGTGACACAGCCTCACAGTCGTCATGGTGACACAGCCTCACAGTCGTCATGGTGACACAGCCTCACAGTCGTCATGGTGACACAGCCTCACAGTCGTCATGGTGACACAGCCTCACAGTCGTCATGGTGACACAGCCTCACAGTCGTCACGTTGACACAGCCTCACAGTTGTCACGGTGACACAGCCTCACAGTTGTCATGGTGACACAGCCTCACAGTTGTCATGGTGACACAGCCTCACAGTTGTCATGGTGACACAGCCTCACAGTTGTCATGGTGACACAGCCTCACAGTTGTCATGGTGACATAGCCTCACAGTCGTCATGGTGACACAGCCCTCCTTGAGATGACAAGATTAAATTGTATGTTCAATAGGAAACAGAATGCAACATTACATCATTGTTTTCAAATAAATAAAAGTAAATGTTCTTCTCTGAGCTGCAGTACTCTTAGTGTCCTGTGGGTGCCGTTCTCATTATCAGCAGATGGATCGACATGATGGTCTCACTGCAGAGACCAGAGAGAGATATCACAGAGAGAGATATCACAGAGAGAGATATCACAGAGAGAGATATCACAGAGAGAGATATCACAGAGAGAGATATCACAGAGAGAGATATCACAGAGCGAGAGAGAGACCAGAGAGAGAGAGAGAGACCAGAGAGAGAGAGAGAGAGAGACCAGAGAGAGATATCACAGAGCGAGAGAGAGACCAGAGAGCACGGTGGCTGAGTGGATAGCACTCTCGCCTCTCAGCAAGAAGGTCCTGGGTTCGAATCCCGGCCGGACCAGGGCCTTTCTGAGTGGAGTTTGCATGTTCTCCCCGTGTCTGCGTAGGTTTCCTCCGGGTACTCCGGTTTCCCCTACCACTAAAAATATGTACAATAGGTCTGGCATGCGCCTCCTGTTCGGCGACCCCGCTCCCATCTCTGTGTGGAGTGAGAGACAAATGCCCAAAAATAACAATTGTAAACCGCTTTGTGACTCTGGTCTGTGAAAGGCGGTATATAAATAAAGCTTACTTACTTACTACAGAGAGAGAGCGATAGAGACCAGAGAGAGACGGACCAGATGTACTTCAGATCAGATTCAGATTCAGTTTATTTGCCATTTGCAGTAAAAAAAACCACATTGGAATAGATTAGCAAAAGTCTCCAGTGTGCACAGACAAATACAGACATAAAACAACATTAAAAGACAAAAATAAAACAAATAAAACAGTAAACAAATGTCACTGTGATATCGATCGACTAAAACAGTTTCAAAACAAGTGCAAATCATTAAAGTGCTCTGTTCACACTGATAACAGCTTGTGGATAAAAACTGTTAGCGTAACGAGATGTCCTGCATCTCAGAGAGCGATTTCTTCTGCCAGAGGGAAGAAGCTGGAACATGGCTTTCCCAGGGTGGCTTGTTCCACTGACAACTCTTAAAGTCAGATGAAGACATTTTCACCGATTCTATGTTTGTGAAGATCTTACTCATCACAGTCTTTGATTTCCTAATAGTGTGGTGTTATTTGTTAGTGATGAGTCTCTGTCTCTGCTGCTCGCTCCATTAGCGGAGCGCGCTAACGACGTTGCTAACTCCACTGGGGTATGCCATAAGCCATGCGCTTATAACAGATAAACAAGATCCTCTTTAGCTCTAGGTAACATGGACCGGAAACACAGACACAAGGTGGAGGAGAGACACCACCTGGTCTCTTTCTCTTGTGTCTCTCTCTGGTCTCTCTCTCTCTGGCTTCTCTCTCTTCTCTCTCTCTGGCTTCTCTCTCTTGTCTCTCTCTGGTCTCTCTCTGGTCTCTCTCTGGTCTCTCTCTCTCTTGTTTTTCTGAGTGTGTTTCATTCATAATCTCTGATCTGTGACCCCTCAGAGTCCCTCTGAAGGTGGAGCAGGCGAACAGCGCCCGTGATGCTCTGGCCAAAGCCATGTACAGCCGTCTGTTTGACCACGTAGTGACCAGAGTGAACCAGTGCTTCCCCTTCAGCTCCTCTGCCAACTTCATCGGGGTCCTGGACATTGCTGGCTTCGGTCAGATACACACACACTCTCTCTCTGGTGTCTGGCTCTCTATCTGGTCTCTCTCTGATCTCTCTTTCTGGTCTCTATCTCTAGTCTTTCTCTAGTTTCTTTCTCTCTAGTCTATAGTCTCTTTCTGGTCTCCCCTGTTCTCTGACTCCATCATGTGTTTACCTGTTATGACTCCATCTTGTGTTTACCTGTTCTCTGACTCCATCTTGTGTTTACCCAGGGGCTGACTCCATCTTGCTCTGACCTCCATTTTGTTTTTTTCCCAGAATATTTTGAGCACAACAGTTTTGAACAGTTCTGCATCAACTACTGCAACGAGAAACTGCAGCAGTTTTTCAACGAGAGGATTCTGAAGGAGGTAAGAGCCAGACAGGAGGTGCTCTGAGCTCTCTGATTGGTTGTTTGTTTAGGAACACACACGGAGTGCTCTGAGCTCTCTGATTGGTTGGTTGTTTAGGAACACACACGGAATGCTCTGAGCTCTCTGATTGGTTGTTTGTTGAGTACAGGAGCAGGAGCTGTACCAGAGAGAGGGACTGGGCGTCAACGAGGTTCACTACGTGGACAATCAGGACTGCATCGGTGAGACCCTACCTGACCTCTGACCTTTATCTCCTGCCCAGATCTTTGACCTCTATCTCTCTGTTCTGACCCCTGACCTCTGACCTCTCTGCAGACCTGGTGGAGGCCAAACTTGTGGGGATCCTGGACATTCTGGATGAGGAGAACAGACTCCCTCAGCCGTCTGACCAGCACTTCACCCACGCAGTGCACAGCAGACACAAGGACCACTTCAGACTCAGCGTAAGGACTGGGCCTGGGCCGGGTTTGAGGCGGGTCTAATGCGGGTCTAAAGCAGGTCCAGAGACTTAAATAGGGTCTTTGTTTCAGATTCCCAGGAAGTCCAAGTTGTCGGTTCACAGAAACGTGAGAGACGACGAAGGATTCATTGTACGACACTTTGCTGGAGCTGTGTGCTACGAGACTGTGAGTCCAGACCCTCCCAGTCCAGACCCTCCCAGTCCGGACCCTCCCAGACCCTTCTTCAGCTTTATCTGTATGATTTTTGTCTTTGCAGATCCGCTTTGTAGAGAAGAACAACGATGCGCTGCACATGTCTCTGGAGGCGCTGGTGTCTGAGTCCAAAGATGGCTTCATCAGAGAACTGTTCGAGAACAACAACAACAGAGACACCAAGCAGAAGGCGGGAAAACTGGGCTTCATCAGCGTCGGCAACAAGTTTAAGGTCATACACATTTTCTTTCTCTGGTCTCTCTCCATGGATCTGTAATAATATCTGGATAGGGTATTACTAGATTATAGCTGTCCCACCCATGGGCACAGGGGGTGCCCGCGGTACTGCAGACTACCCAAACATTTTTCCATAGAACTCAATGCAAACTAAAACAGCTGGACCTCAACTGACAGAGAACCTGCAGCTTTGATAAAGGTCGGATTTTGTGGGGATTTTAGTGTCCCTTTCATACGGGCCTGGACACTGCAGGATTTGAGTCCCTGATGGCGTAGTGTGTTACTGATGTAAGTAAGTAAGTAAGTAAGTAAACTTTATTTATATAGCGCCCGTCACAGACCAGGGTCACAAAGCGCTTCACATACAGTGCCTTGCGAAAGTATTCGGCCCCCTTGAACCTTTCTACATTTCGCCACATTTCAGGCTTCAAACATAAAGATATAAAAATTAATTTTTTTGTCAAGAATCAACAACAAGTGGGACACAATCGTGAAGTGGAACAAAATTTATTGGATAATTTAAACTTTTTTAACAAATAAAAAACTGAAAAGTGGGGCGTGCAATATTATTCGGCCCCCTTGCACTAATACTTTGTAGCACCACCTTTGGCTGCAATTACAGCTGCAAGTCGCTTGGGGTTTGTCTCTATCAGTTTTGCAAATCGAGAGGCTGGAATTCTTACCCATTCTTCCTTGCAAAACAGCTCGAGCTCAGTGAGGTTGGATGGAGAGCGTTTGTGAACAGCAGTCTTCAGCTCTTTCCACAGATTCTCGATTGGATTCAGGTCTGGACTTTGACTTGGCCATTCTAACACCTGGATACGTCTATTTGTGAACCATTCCATTGTAGATTTGGCTTTATGTTTTGGATCATTGTCCTGTTGGAAGATAAATCTCCGTCCCAGTCTCAGGTCTTTTGCAGACTCCAACAGGTTTTCTTCCAGAATGGTCCTGTATTTGGCTCCATCCATCTTCCCATCAATTTTAGCCATCTTCCCTGTCCCTGCTGAAGAAAAGCAGGCCCAAACCATGATGCTGCCACCACCATGTTTGACAGTGAGGATGGTGTGTTCAGGGTGATGAGCTGTGTTGCTTTTACGCCAAACATATCGTTTTGCATTGTGGCCAAAAAGTTCGCTTTTGGTTTCATCTGACCAGAGCACCTTCTTCCACATGTTTGGTGTGTCTCCCAGGTGGCTTGTGGCAAACTTTAAACGAGACTTTTTATGGATATCTTTGAGAAATGGCTTTCTTCTTGCCACTCTTCCATAAAGGCCAGATTTGTGCAGTGCACGACTGATTGTTGTCCTATGGACAGACTTTCCCACCTCAGCTGTAGTTATCTGCAGTGCATCCAGAGTGATCATGGGCCTCTTGGCTGCATCTCTGATCAGTCTTCTCCTTGTTTGAGATGAAAGTTTGGAGGGACGGCCGGGTCTTGGTAGATTTGCAGTGGTCTGATATTCCTTCCATTTCAATATAATTGCTTGCACAGTGCTCCTTGAGATGTTTAAAGCTTGGGAAATCTTTTTGTATCCAAATCCGGCTTTAAACTTCTCCACAACAGTATCTCGGACCTGCCTGGTGTGTTCCTTTGTCTTCATGGTTCTCTCTGCGCTTTAAACAGAACCCTGAGACTATCAAAGAGCAGGTGCATTTATACGGAGACTTGATTACACACAGGTGCATTCTATTTATCATCATCAGTCATTTAGGACAACATTGGATCATTCAAAGATCCTCACTGAACTTCTGGAGTGAGTTTGCTGCACTGAAAGTAAAGGGGCCGAATAATATTGCACGCCCCACTTTTCGGTTTTTTATTTGTTAAAAAAGTTAAAATTATCCAATAAATTTTGTTCCACTTCACGATTGTGTCCCACTTGTTGATTCATGACAAAAAATTAAAATTTCATATCTTTATGTTTGAAGCCTGAAATGTGGCGAAATGCTGAAAGGTTCGAGGGGGCCGAATACTTTCGCAAGGCACTGTAGTATAAAAAAAACAGACATTATATAAATTAGACAAACAAATTTTTAAAGGCCAAGACAAGCATGTAAAAAAAAAATTTTAGCCTTTGTTACTTTGGTCCCAGCTCTCTGCCGGTCATTCACTAGGTCTCCTCGTGTGGTTCTGGGATTTTTGCTCACCGTTCTTTTTTTGACCCCATGGAGTGAGATTTCGCACGGAGCCCCAGATTGAGGGAGATTATCAGTGGTGTAGGCAAGGCAAGTTTATTTGTATAGCACAATTCATACACAAGGCAACAAAATTGCTGAACAAGATAGCATTAAAATCATAAATAATCACAGAACATTAAAAAGAAAGATAAAGATATCAAATCCCTCAGTTGTATGCACAGCTAAACTGAACTGTTTTTAACCTGGTTTTAAACATTGTCAGAGAGGAGGCCTGTCTCACATCTTCAGGAAGATTGTTCCAGATTTTAGCAGCAGTAGTGTAGTATGTCTCCCACTTGCTAATAATTGCTCCCAAGCTGCTTACCTATTGCAGATTCAGTCTTCCCAGCCTGGTGTAGGTCTACAATTCTGTTTCTGGTATCTTTTGAAAGCTCATACAGGTCTGTGAGAGCCAGAAATCTTGCTTGTAGATGACCAAATACTTATTTTTCACCATAATTTGCAAATAATGATTTTTAATAATGAGGATTTCTCTCTCATAGTTGAGGTTTACCTATGATTAAAATTACAGGCCTCCGTCGTTAACTCATTGTGTCCCATTGACGCACAAATACGTCAAAGCAAATAGTAACGTTGTGTGCCATTGACGCATTAATCCGTCAATTGCCTTTTTTGCTATTTTCACGTTCCCAGATGTCTATTGTATCTAATATGTATGGGGATGACTTGAGACCATATTTTATCGAGCCAGCAGGTGGCAGCATTGCTCTCTGAATGGTTTGAAAACATGTAGGTGCACATGTTGTGCCTCTTTTTTCTCAACTTTCTGGTGATTTCTGGTGATTTCAGTAAAACTTCCCTTTACTCGACGGAGGATTACAGGGGAACGAAAAAAGCTATAAACAAAATTCTTTTTGCTGAGGAAAGTAGACAGTCCATTCTTTTAGAATCTGGTGTCGGATTTCAGATAGTCATAGTACACAATATTCTGTGGGTCTTGAAAAATCAGTAAAAATCATCAGAAATGGCTGGCACTGTGGGAGTACCTGTTCTGAAATAGGCTGGCATTCAATGAGTTAAGAGGAATAACTTGCACAATTGGTGGCTGACTTAATACTTTTTTTGCCCCTCTGTATATAGTAACAATTGTAATACATTTATTTCTAATTTTGTATTTTAAAAAATGTATATTGCTTTTTATTATGGCCTATTCTATTCTCTACTTTTGACTTGTTTGCACCGAGAGCCAAAGCAATTTCCTAGTCTGACTTCCTGTTATTTCCTGTTACTGACATGGCAATAAAAATGATTCTGATTCTCTCTCTGCTCTCACTCTGGTCTTTGTTGCTCTCTTTGGTCTCTCGCTCTGGTCTCTGAGTTAGGTGAGTGAGTGTGACAGACAGTTGGACAGATGTTAATTTGTGTGTGAAACTGATGCGACAGCTCATTTCCCCTGGTCACACTCAGTGGCCAGTGTTTTAGAGCCGCTGGTCTGAGTCCTGGTCTGAGTCCTGGTCTGAGTCCTGGTCTGAGTCCTGGTCTGAGTCCTGGTCTGAGTCCTGGTCTGAGTCCTGGTCTGAGTCCTGGTCTGAGTCCTGGTCTGAGTCCTGGTCTGAGTCCTGGTCTGAGTCCTGGTCTGAGTCCTGGTCTGAGTCCTGGTCTGAGTCCTGGTCTGAGTCCTGGTCTGAGTCCTGGTCTGAGTCCTGGTCTGAGTCCTGGTCTGAGTCCTGGTCTGAGTCCTGGTCTGAGTCCTGGTCTGAGTCTCTCGTTAAAAGCAGATTACATTTCAGTATTTGCAGACGATAATGAAGGCAGCTCGTCAGATTGGACAGTTTTCTTGGGGGAAATCCTCCTGGTGCCGCGGCGACAGTGGTGTTTGCACAGAGTGATTGACAGCTCGCCTCGATGGACCACAACTAACGCCGAATATGAAGAGATTAGGATTATTAGACTGACTGCAAAAGTATTCATACCCACTCAACTTCAAGGCTTTGAGAGAAAGTGACTTTCTCTCCTCTCTCTACTCTCTCCCCTCTCTCCTCTCTCCCCTCCTCCCTTCTCTCCCCTCTCTCCCCTCTCTCCCCTCTCCTCTCTTAGTTTAAAGCAGTGTTCAGAGCATATTATTCAGTTCAAAGTTCAAATCTACCAAGACTCTGCGGTCTGCCCAAACAAGGACAGCACTGATCACAGATCAGAGGCTTGAAGGTAGAGCAGTTCATCCTCTGCATTTGACCCGGATTCCACTTGGCGACTGTCAGCAGTTGCTGACAGTCGCCAGATGGCAGATGGACCCTGCCGTAGAAACAGCAGGGTCCATCTCCAGATATTAAGCTCTGTGTCAGGACTGAAGTTGGAGGATTTTACCTATTGTATAGGGAGTTAGTCATGGGGACACCGGTGCACCCGGAGGAAACATCCAGTACCTTCATGCTGAGATGCGAGAGTGCCAACCACTCAGCCACTGTGCTGCCCAGAGAGATTTACTCTGCCATCCTGCTGTGGACAGAGGGGTGGGGCAGCATCCTGCTGTGGACAGAGTGGTGGGGCAGCATCCTGCTGTGGACAGAGTGGTGAGGCAGCATCCTGCTGTGGACAGAGTGGTGGGGCAGCATCCTGCTGTGGACAGAGGGGTGGGGCCTCATCCTGCTGTGGACAGAAAAGACATGGAATCTTCTTTGTAATGTTCTTCACTTTGATGTTTTGTGTTTTCAGACTCAGCTAAACCTGCTGCTGGAGAAACTGCGTAGTACGGTGAGTCATAAACACACATTTATATTTATTAGTTGGCCCGCTGAACCGTTTTCATTGGCCTGCCGAATGGTGCCCTCCTTGATTGCATCTTCATCTGTATTTCTGTGGCGGTCATTCGGACACTTCTTAAGTGAATAATGTTCCGCTCGGACACACATTGGGCAAATAACAAATCATGGTGTCCAGTACTTTAGTGATGTGTGGGGATACATGCCCCACTCATGGTTCACATCAACTTGCAAACTAAAAGGCTTTTGAAATTAAACACGCTTATCAAAACAATTGGGAGCAAGGCACCTTTTTTTCAGCCTAGTGATCTTTTTTTTCAGCAATTTTATGATTTATCGATTTGAGAGGATCCCCCTTGAGCCTTTGCGCCTACAGCTTCTAGTTCGCTGCATGAACCAGAACAAAATAGAGCGTCATCGGCAGTGGCAAGAGACAGAGGCATTTTAAATCCAGTTGTAGCAGATTGCAGCGTTGAATCTAGTTTTGTTGTTGGCATTTGCAATTTTGTGGCTGCACTTGTTGTTTGTTGTTGTTCTATCTAAGTGTAGGAGTTTTAGAAGAAGGTTCTTTATTAGTCCCACAGTGGGGAAATTTCAGTTTGAGGAATACACACAGAACAGTACTTCTGCGCTCCTTATGGGCAAAGAGGGTTAAGTGTCTTGCCCAAGGACACAACGACAGCAGACCTCAGTGGAGTTGGTGGAGAAGCTCTCACGGTGGATTTGAACCCACAACCTTTAAGCTCAAAGGCCAATGCTCTACCAACTGAGCCTCACTCTGGTCTCTCTCTGGTCTCTCTCTGGTCTCTCTCTGGTGTCTCTCTGGTCTCTCTCTGGTCTCACTCTGGTCTATCTCTGGCCTCTCGCTGGTCTCTCTCTGGTCTCTCTCTGGTCTCTCTCTGGTCTCTCTCTGGTCTTTCTCTGGTCTTTCTCTGGTCTCTCTCTGGTCTCTCTCTGGTCTCTCTCTGGTCTCTCTCTGGTCTCTAACTTCTGGTATTGTTTGCAGGGTTCCAGTTTCATTCGTTGCATCAAACCAAACCTGAAGATGATCAGTCACCAGTTTGAAGGAGCTCAGATCCTGTCGCAGCTGCAGTGTTCTGGTCAGTCCTGGTCTCTGTTCTGGTCTCTGTCCCGGTCTCTGTCCCGGTCTCTGTCCCGGTCTCTGTCCTGGTCTCTGTCCTGGTCTCTGTCCCGGTCTCTGTCCCGGTCTCTGTCCTGGTCTTTGTCCCGGTCTCTGTCCCGGTCTCAGTCCCGGTCTCTGTCCTGGTCTTTGTCCCGGTCTCTGTCCCGGTCTCAGTCCCGGTCTCAGTCCTGGTCTCTCCTCAGGTATGGTCTCGGTCCTGGATCTGATGCAGGGGGGTTTTCCCTCCAGAGCTCCGTTCCATGAACTTTACAACATGTACCAGAAGTTCATGCCCCCGAGACTGGGCCGACTGGACCCCCGACTCTTCTGCAAGGTCTGTGAGAATCTAACTAACACACACTAACACACACACACACACACACACACACACACACACCCTCATAGTGTATTCATAGTAGGTTGTAAATGTGTATGAGCAGAGATTGTATTGGTACTTTTGTAACTGTGTGTGTTTGTTTGTGTGTGTGTGTTTGTGTGTAGGCCCTCTTCAAAGCTCTGGGACTGAATGAGGACGACTTCAAGTTCGGTTTGACCAGAGTCTTCTTCCGCCCGGGAAAGGTCTGTACATCTGAGCCAAAATGTCTGTACATCTGAGCCAAAACGTCTGTACATACATCTGAGCCAAAACGTCTGTACATCTGAGGCAAAATATCTTTTAGAGTTCATCAGACGTTGTTACACACACAAGTTTGGATCTTTCAGCCAACGCAAGCTCCGGCCTGGTGTCCCCTTCAGCTCCTGGTCGGTTTTAGTGAGCGATCAGCAGATATTTTTGTCTCCAGTGTTAGAGAAGGACAATTGAAAGCTATAGAACAGAGGACATTTTGGCTCAGATGAAGCGGTCTGACTTTGACCCCTCGTGTCTCAACTTTTACTCTCAGTTTGCAGAGTTCGATCAGATCATGAGGTCAGACCCGGAGCACCTGGAGGAACTCATCCAGAAGGTCCACAAGTGGCTCCTGCACAGTCGCTGGAAGAAGGTGCAGTGGTGCGGCCTGTCGGTGATCAAACGTAAGACTGTTGCTGCTACTGCTGTTACTACACTACTACCACTACTACTATTATCACAACTACTACTACTATTACTACTACTACCACTACTAATACTACTATTAATACTACTACTACCCTGTGATGACGATCCCTGAACCACACTTTGGGAACCTGTGATGTTCTGTCGTGGTGAGAGTTTAAAGAGACATTTCCCCAGAGACTGTGTCCTTCAGCTGAATCACAAGGACACAGCGACACACACACTTCCTGAGGGCACAGACACAACAATCTGCTGCATACGACGCCATCACTCTGTAGAATAACCATTAAAGCTGGGGTCTGTAACTTCAGTCTCATAAATAACACATGTTTAAAGTTAAAGTCTTTCTGTTCCAGTGAAGAATAAGATCTTGTATCGAGCTGGAGCCTGTGTGGTGATGCAGAAGACTGTGAGGATGTGGCTCTGCAAGAGGAAACACAAACCACGGTGAGACACACACAATGACACGCACACAGTGACACACACACACACACAGTGACACACGGTTACGCACAAACGCACACACACACAGTGACACACGGTTACGCACACACACACAGTGACAGACTGAATCTCTACACCAGGCGTCCCCAATTTGTGGCACGGGATCTGCTTGTTGCTCGCCACCCCCTTTCACATAGCTCCCCAAATGATTCAAGAATTTAACACATGATCCTGAATAATTAGCTTGTGAGTCATTGCACATCTGTTTTAACCATAAGGCCTCACTGTAGGGATACAGTATGGTATAATGGTATATTATGCATTTACACAATATAGACTACCAAGGAGAGTAGCTCTCTGCCATTTCTGTTTTATAAAAGTAGCTCTCCAATCGAAAGGGGTCGGAAAGAGGCCTCTGCTGCTCTATAGTATCTGTCTTCCTCTTCTCCAAAAAATATATCTAACATATATTAAATAATATATATAATATATATAAAATATCTCCTCCCCTCCTCCCCCTGCCCTCCTCCACTCCCCCTCTTTCTATCCCCCCTTCTCCTCATCATGTGCAGTCGTTCTCCTGATCAGTTTGACCTTCTCCTCTTGCTCCATCTTGTCACTCCGTGGTTTTTGAAGCGAAGAATAAACGTGTGGAGAAGGTTAAAGACCAGTGAGGGAGCCCAGAGAGAGAGAGGCCAGAGAGAGAGAGGCCAGAGAGAGAGAGGCCAGAGAGAGAGAGAGGCCAGAGAGAGAGAGAGGCCAGAGAGAGAGAGGCCAGAGAGAGAGAGAGGCCAGAGAGAGAGAGAGGCCAGAGAGAGAGAGAGGCCAGAGAGAGAGAGAGGCGCCAGAGAGAGAGAGAGGCGCCAGAGAGAGAGAGAGAGGCCAGAGAGAGAGAGAGGCCAGAGAGAGAGAGAGGCCAGAGAGAGAGAGAGGCCAGAGAGAGAGAGGCCAGAGAGAGAGAGAGGCGCCAGAGAGAGAGGCCAGAGCGAGAGGCCAGAGCGAGAGGCCAGAGAGAGAGAAAGGCCAGAGAGAGAGAGAGGCCAGAGAGAGAGAGAGGCCAGAGAGAGAGAGAGGCCAGAGAGAGAGAGAGAGAGGCCAGAGAGAGAGAGAGAGGCCAGAGAGAGAGAGAGGCCAGAGAGAGAGAGAGGCCAGAGAGAGAGAGAGGCCAGAGAGAGAGAGAGGCCAGAGAGAGAGAGACCAGAGAGAGAGAGACCAGAGAGAGAGAGGCCAGAGATATTATATTAAAGAATATAATTTATACAGAGAGGGAGCCCAAAAAGAGAGTGTGTGTGTGTCTGGTGAAAGTGTGTGTTGTGTTATACTGACGTGTTGTGTGTCTGCAGTATCGATGGCCTGGTGAAGGTGCGAGGGCTGAAGACCCGTATGCACCGCTTCACTGAGGTGGTGTCTGGGCTGAAGGAGGGGAAGGAGGAGATGAGCAAACAGATCCAGGATCTGGAGAGGAGCATTGACTCTGTGATGGACCGGATCAAGGTGCTACTGCTGCTGCTGCTTCTGCTGCTACTGCTGCTACTGCTACTGCTGCTTCTGCTGCTACTGCTGCTGCTGCTGCTACTGCTGCTACTACTGCTACTGCTGCTTCTGCTGCTACTGCTGCTACTGCTACTGCTACTGCTGCTTCTGCTGCTACTGCTGCTGCTGCTGCTACTGCTGCTACTGCTACTACTGCTACTACTGCTACTACTGCTACTGCTGCTTCTGCTGCTACTGCTGCTACTGCTGCTTCTGCTACTGCTTCTACTACTGCTACTGCTTCTACTACTGCTACTGCTTCTACTACTGCTACTGCTTCTACTACTGCTACTGCTTCTACTACTGCTACTGCTTCTTCTACTGCTACTGCTACTACTGCTGCTGCTACTGCTGCTACTGCTACCATCACCCAAGTTCTGCTGTTTGTGTGAATGTCAGTTTTCACAGACACTAGCTTCTGATGTTGCTCTACAGACACTAGCTCCTGATGTAGCTCTACAGACACTAGCTCCTGATGTAGCTCTACACAGACACTAGCTCCTGATGTAGCTCTACAGACACTAGCTCCTGATGTAGCTCTACACAGACACCAGCTCCTGATTTAGCTTTACAGAGACACTAGCTCCTGGTGCCTCTCTGATGACTCTCACTGATGCCTCTTTGCAGCATGTGGTCATGTCTCGTCTGGACATCGACCACGAGTACAAGGTGCTGGTGGGACGGTCAGAGAAGCTGCTGAGTGACCTGCAGAAACAGAAGAAGGAGGAGGAGGAGCGTGAGAGACTAAAGAAGATCCAGGAGGAGATGGAGCGAGAGAGGAGGAGGAGAGAGGAGGAGGAGCAGATGAGGAGGCAGGAGGAGGAGGACCGCAAACTGTGAGTCTACTATACACACATGTGGGAGATAGAGGAGGAGAGGAGAAAGAGGTGTGGGGGGAGAGAGTGGGGGAGACAGAGCTGCATGTTTGTGCATAGCGTGGATGGATCTAAACACAACTTCAAGTCTGTGACTGAGGGACAGTGTTGTAGTGAATTTGAATTTCTTCCCCTTTCCTGAGGAGGCACAAACCTCACATTACACCTGTGTTACAAACCTCACATTACACCTGTGTCACAAACCTCACATTACACCTGTGTACAGACCCCACATTACACCTGTTTACAGACCCCACATTACACCTGTGTCACAGACCTCACATTACACCTGTGTTACAGGCCTCACATTACACCTGTGTTACAGACCTCACATTACACCTGTGTCACAGACCTCACATTACACCTGTGTCACAGACCTCACATTACACCTGTGTTACAGACCTCACATTACATCTGTGTTACACCTTTATTCTGTGGTTTCAGAAAATCAGAGATGGAGCTGAAGAGGAAGCAGGAGGAAGAGGAGAGGAAGAGCAGGGAGGAGGAGGAGCGCCGCCTGCAGGTGAGTCTTGGAACAACACTGTAATTATCTAGGGCTGTCAAAATTATTGCGTTAACTCATGTTAATTAAATTTTTTATAAACGGGGGAAAAAAGAAATTAACGCATTAACGCATGTCCGAATGACCCGCCCAGTTATCCATATTATCACTCAGAATGCCGCGTACACATGCCTGTGTGAGATGGCAACAGAGCAGGTCTCTGGGAATTCAAGTTTTAAAAGAATACGCGCGTGACCGCGGGGCTACAGTCTATCAACTGAAGTCCGCCTTCCCGGGCACACCCCGGGGGCAGCTGCGGCCGCTCTGGTTGTGAGCCGCTCACAACAACACGGTGAACGGCGCTGCGGTGATGTGGTCATATAAGACCAAACACGCCACAGAACTATTCTCTGCATGTTGTGTTTTGACTTTGCAACCTGTGCGTAACCTGTGCACGCAAATACCATGTCTCCTCCTGAAAACTAAACTAAACTCGCTAAATTAAAGCTGGGGTATGTAAATGCTCCCCTTTCATTAACAGCTAATTTTGTTTGTGCCCAAAAATAAAAGCTTGTGAGCAAATCAAACAGACTTAAGTACATTTGGCATGAATGACAATGTGTCATTATATTTCATAATCTCATTTAACTTCAATTGGAGTAGATTTGAAATAGAGTTAACTACCCTTTACTATGCGATTAATCAACTAAAAATGTTTTATCGTTTGACAGCCCTAATTAGTGACCTGTAACTCAGAAATTTAGTCCCATAGGTAACTCTATTATTGTGGTCTGAAAATTACGTACCCAAGCTTTAAAGAAGGGATCAGATAAGCGTGTGGGTGCGTTTCTGTCTGTGTGTGTGTGTGTGTGTGTGTCTGTGTGTGTGTCCTCTCTGTGTGTGTGTGTGTCTGTGTGGGTGCGTTTCTGTCTGTGTGTGTGTGTGTCTGTGTGTGTGTCCTGTGTGTGTGTGTGTGTCTGTCTGTGTGTGTGTGTGTCCTCTGTGTGTGTGTCCTCTGTGACTGTGTCTTTATCCTGCGTTTCCCTCACGTCCTTTAGTCGTTAGTATTCAGCGCAGCAGCTCAGACAGCGACCAATCTCATACCATTCTCCTGCTGCTGCTGTTGAGTGTGTGTTTGTGTGTGTCTGTCTGTGTGGCAAGGTTCTCTGCTCCTTTGACTGTATACAGATGGACAATGCTAACCTGCTAGCTCAAACAGGGAAGTGCTCATGGTGAAGTTTGGCTCCTCTCTCTGGCTCCCTCCTTGGGATTAAATCTGTGGTTTATTGCTCTCTGTGATCCTGCTGTTTATGTGTGATGTTGACTAGCCATATAAGGATGTGGGTGGGTGTTGCCAAGTGGCGGGGGTGTGTCAGTAGCAGGGGTGGCGATTATGTTTTTGCATCATCGTCAATAATATATATATTTTTTTTTAACATATCTCCAATACATAATACAACTACAACAGGCAAGATGCTCATTCGTCAAATGCCTAAAAAGCTAATCACTGCTTTATTTATACATTTCAGTAAATATTGGATGTGTTCTTCCCCTGTTACTTGAATTTTGTTTTTGATGTCAATATGTTTGTGTATGTTTTGCAAAGATGTGTGAAGCACTTTACAAATAAAAAGCTGCTATTTTGATCTAGACTGTCTCTATCTATAGATGCCCTGGAGAGCAAAACATTGCAGCTCATTTTGTGTAAACAAATTGCTCCGGAAATCACACCTGCGGCTGTTCGAGGACGTACAGCAAAAAACAAGTTCCCTGCGGTCAAGTGCGCTCCCCCCAAATAGTGTGGGGGGGGCGCCCTCACTGCTCCTACCTCCCATAGACTGTAACTCAGACAACGAGAGCGCCACTGTCAACTACTGTAGTGGATGTGCAATTGCACTTTATTCAAGTACGGCAAAAAAAACATGTAGCCCTGGCATCGCACCACGCCCCACTATTTGAGAAGCATTGAGCTAGCGGGTTAGGCTTGAGCTAGTGGGTTAGCCTTGAGCTAGCTACAGCTGACCTACAGGAGCTCCTGGATATGTCCTGTCTCCCATATAATTGATTATTGCAAGTGACTGAGTCGTGTTGGACTCGCAGGTGGAGATGGAGGCCCAGCTCGTGGTGGAGCGGGAGGAGGAAGCGGCTCGGCAGGCCATTCTCGAACAAGAGAAGAGAGACAGAGAACTTGCCATGAGGATCGCCCAGAACGAGTCCGAGCTGATCCCAGAGGAGAGCGCCGACCCGGGCCTGAGGAGGTGAGTCCCTGGTCCCACTGTTGTCCCTGGTCCCTCTGTCGTCTCTAGTTGTGGTTGGTTCTTGGTCCCTGGGTCCTCTATGGTCCCTGGTTCCTGATCCCTGGTCCCTCTATGGTCTGTGATGGGGCAGCACGGTGGCTGAGTGATTAGCACTCTCGCTTCTCAGCAAAAAAGGTCTGGGTTCGAATCCCAGTTGGAAAAGGGCCTTTCTGAGTGGAGTTTGCATGTTCTCCCTGTGTCTGTGTAGGTTTCATCCGGGTACTCCGGTTTCCCCTACCACTAAAAACATGTTCAGAGTGAATGAGTGTGTGTGAGTGCGACTGTGGGACAACATGCACCGTGCCGACCAAATAAACCATATATACAAAAGAGTTGCGGGTCCTCTGTAGTTCCTGGTCCCTTATACCTGGTTGCTGTTCCCTGGTCTCTGGACCAGGACCCTGGTTGATGGTTGTCTCATGTGCTTCTGTGCTTCTGGTTTTCTCCTCAGTAACGGCTCATCTGTGCCTTCGTCTCCGGAGCGAGCAGCGTAAGACGTTTCAACAGTTTCAAAATAACAAACTCCCCCTTTGCCTAACCCCGCCCCCTTTCCCTTAGCCCCTCCCCCACCGCCGCTGCATGCATCTAATGAACACAGACCAGCGAGAGAGACCATTATTTGGACTGATTAAGGATTGATTGGTCGGTCTCTCTGGTCTAACTGCACCTGGACCTGGACTCGGACTAGACCCAATGCAACAGATTCAAATCAGTTTGAGTTTGGTTCAGCTCAAATAACTTGTGGTTATTCTGTTGATTGTATTTTAATTAGAAATGAATAATGAGTGTAATCCCCTCGTTATGATTCTAATCTGCTGTAATGAAGATAATCTGGTTTAATCCAGTTTATTGTCAATAACAACAGTTTGTGTGATGTCCCACAGAGTGATGGGGCCTCGGCTGAAGAGTCTCACCATGTACGTCTACTTACACACCTGAGGGAGACCAGAGAGAGGGAGACCAGAGAGAGGGAGACCAGAGAGAGGGAGACCAGAGAGAGGGAGGCCAGAGAGAGGGAGGCCAGAGAGAGGGAGGCCAGAGAGAGGGAGGCCAGAGAGAGGGAGGCCAGAGAGAGGGAGGCCAGAGAGAGGGAGGCCAGAGAGAGGGAGGCCAGAGAGAGGGAGGCCAGAGAGAGGGAGGCCAGAGAGAGGGAGGCCAGAGAGGGGGGGAGACCAGAGAGGGGGGGGAGACCAGAGAGGGGGGGAGACCAGAGAGAGGGAGGCCAGAGAGGGGGGGAGACCAGAGAGGGGGGGAGACCAGAGAGGGGGGGAGACCAGAGAGGGGGAGATCAGAGAGGGGGGGGAGACCAGAGAGGGAGGGGGGGGGACCAGAGAGTGGGGGGGGACCAGAGAGTGGGGGGGAGACCAGAGATTGGGGGGGAGACCAGAGACCTGGACTGGACCTGGACTTGGAGTTTATAAAGTGCATGTGTTGCAGGGAGGAGATGGCCAAAGAGATGAAGGAGCTGTTGGCTCGGTGCGTCAGAAACCGTCGATTTCTGATCAAAAACGAATCAGAAATATTCAAAATGATTCTTACAGAGTCTCAACCAATCACAGCTATGCAAACACCAGATTCTGAACAGATTATCTCACATTTACCAAAAAACAATCTGAACCTTCTCTGCTGCTGTGTCCTGTGACCTCCTACCTCCTAACTCCTGACTCTCACCTCGACCTGTTAGACCTCCTCTCTCTCCTCTCGTCCCTTATTTGTCATCTCTTCTCTCTCTCATCTCTTCTCTCTCCACTCTCTCCTCTTTTCTCTCTTGTCAATTGTTGTTTTCCTGAAGCCGTAACATCCTCTTATCCTTCAGCCTGAGCTTCCGCCTAAGTCTCCCATCTGAACGACCCTGTTTAATGTTTACGTGTGTGTTCCCCATGGATTCTCAGGTTCATGTAGTTCCTTGTCTCTCCTCCAGGGGCCTCAGGTTCATGTAGTTCCTTGTCTCTCCTCCAGGGGCCTCAGGTCCATGTAGGTCCTTGTCTCTCCTCCAGGGGCCTCAGGTTCATATAGTTCCTTGTTTCTCTTCCAGGGGCCTCAGGTTCATGTAGTTCCTTGTCCCTCCTCCAGGGTCCTCAGGTTCATGTAGGTCCTTGTCCCTCCTCCAGGGGCCTCAGGTTCATGTAGGTCCTTGTCTCTCCTCCAGGGGCCTCAGGTTCATGTGGTTCCTTGTCTCTCCTCCAGGGGCCTCAGGTTCATGTGGTTCCTTGTCTCTCCTCCAGGGGCCTCAGGTTCATGTGGTTCCTTGTCTCTCCTCCAGGGGCCTCAGGTTCATGTAGGTCCTTGTCTCTCCTCCAGGGGCCTCAGGTTCATGTAGTTCCTTGTCCCTCCTCCAGGGTCCTCAGGTTCATGTAGGTCCTTGTCTCTCCTCCAGGGGCCCTCAGGTTCATGTAGGTCCTTGTCTCTCCTCCAGGGGCCTCAGGTTCATGTAGTTCCTTGTCTCTCCTCCAGGAGCCTCAGGTTCATGTAGGTCCTTGTCTCTCCTCCAGGGGCCTCAGGTTCATGTAGGTCCTTGTCTCTCCTCCAGGGGCCCTCAGGTTCATGTAGGTCCTTGTCTCTCCTCCAGGGGCCTCAGGTTCATGTGGTTCCTTGTCTCTCCTCCAGGGGCCTCAGGTTCATGTAGGTCCTTGTCTCTCCTCCAGGGGCCTCAGGTTCATGTGGTTCCTCGTCTCTCCTCCAGGGGCCTCAGGTTCATGTGGTTCCTTGTCTCTCCTCCAGGGGCCTCAGGTTCATGTAGGTCCTTGTCTCTCCTCCAGGGGCCTCAGGTTCATGTAGTTCCTTGTCCCTCCTCCAGGGTCCTCAGGTTCATGTAGGTCCTTGTCTCTCCTCCAGGGGCCCTCAGGTTCATGTAGGTCCTTGTCTCTCCTCCAGGGGCCTCAGGTTCATGTAGTTCCTTGTCTCTCCTCCAGGAGCCTCAGGTTCATGTAGGTCCTTGTCTCTCCTCCAGGGGCCTCAGGTTCATGTAGGTCCTTGTCTCTCCTCCAGGGGCCCTCAGGTTCATGTAGGTCCTTGTCTCTCCTCCAGGGGCCTCAGGTTCATGTGGTTCCTTGTCTCTCCTCCAGGGGCCTCAGGTTCATGTAGGTCCTTGTCTCTCCTCCAGGGGTCCTCAGGTTCAGGCGTCCAAAGTTGCAGTCGGAGCCAAAAAGTACGAACTCAGCAAATGGAAATACGCCGAGCTCCGGGATGCAATCAACACATCCTGCGGTGAGTCAGGACCAAGCTGGACCAGATGGACCAGACCCATGTGGACTAGACTGGAGCAGACCCATGTGGACTAGACTGGAGCTGACCCATGTGGACCAGCGCAGACCCTGTGGTGTCCCCCCAGGCTCTGTGCTGGGACCCTCACAGTTTGACAGACTCTGACAGATAATGTGTTCAGACATCGAGCTGCTGGCCTCGTGTCGGGAAGAGTTCCATCGGCGTCTGAAAGTCTATCACGCCTGGAAGTCCAAGAACAAGAAGCGGAACACCGAGACGGAGCAGAGAGCGCCCAAATCTGTCACCGACTACGGTAAAGGATTAAAGATTATTACTACTGCTGCTACTAGTGCTGCTACTGCTACTTGGTCTTAAATCTCACTAAAACAGTGTCCATGTGCTTTTCCATAAAAAAGCACATGGACCAAAAAATATATATTACAATGCAAACAAATCAAAACAATAACACAATTCACTTGGGTTGGTTTTAGATCCACATCTAAAATTTGACAAAAATGTTTTAGAAATATCCAAAACTATACACCGTAATATTTTATCCCAAATCAAGCGGCCTTGCTGTACATGCATGGGATGATCTTCTCCCATAAATCCTACTGCATGACAACATTGACCCAGGCAGCTCCCTCAGCCACAAAGTGCATTGGCTCATTATACAATCAAGCAATAATATGGACAAGAAACCAACGTCATATCACCACTGAAAAACAACCAAAAATTGTTATGTATTAAGTTTTGAAAATGTTATTAAATTTTACTTTTTAAAATTAACATTCAAAAGCGTCATCAACCTGGCACCAGAGCCACTAATTTCATTTATACAGAGACTAATCAGCAAAAGGGTCACCAGAAGCTCCTCCCACAACAACTGTGCAATTCCCCACCGCCACTTTCTCCATGAAGACGGCCAAACTGTGGAACTCACTGCCCACTGACCTGAAAAATATATCGATCAGATGGCAAATATATTTATATTAAACTAATGATATTTTTATGTCAAGTTATTAAATGCCCCTAGTATGTCAAAAGGCATTTATAAACCATGCTCTTTTCGAATAGTTCTTAACAGTAGTTCAGCCGAGATATTAGAATTTCAAAATTAGTTTTACTGCCCCTAAACCAAGCCCCGGCGATCCAAGATGGCGCCGTATTCAAATGAATGGTTGTGCTCAGTGGCGCTTTGTGACGGCATGGGTGCCAAAAAGATTAGCGGAAGTCATCTGAAACTCGCAAAGATCTATGGGAAACTCTCCTGTATTTGGGCATCGTCTGGTCCTCCCGGTTCTGCGCAGTGGATGAACTCCCATGTTGCGTTGCGCCAAACACGCGTCTGTGAGTCTCACACGGGGTCTCACGCACGTGCACAGAGGGACTCGGCCGCGCGGGAGTTAGAGCGGGAGCCAGACGAGCAGAGTTTGTGGCACTAAAGTGTGGATTTAAAGAAAACCGAAGGATTTAAGAAGAAAAAAAGTTCAGGATGACAAGGGACACTAAAATCCCCACAAAATCCGACCTTTATGAAAGCTGTAGGTTCTCTGTCAGCTGAGGTCGAGCTGTTTAAGTTTACATTGAGTGTCTATGGGGAAAATGTCTGGGTAGCTCACGTGAATTTAGTCTGGTTCAGTCTGCAGTACCGCGAGAATCCCCCGAGCACGTGAGTTCTTCAGCTCCAAGCTGAAATACCCTATCCAGTTATTATAATAGATCCATGCCCTAAACCTTGTTGTGATTTTCATTTCGATGTCCCGCCCTCCACCGTTTTACCAATCAGAAAGTCGGGGATCCGGGCGCCAGAACTCACCGCGTCAAGCTAATCTCATTGGTAAAGTAACATGTGGCTAGGATTTCTATCTTTGTGAAAAAGGTGTTGGTTATAGTTTTGTTGTTGACAAAACTCTTGTCTATTCAGCTGTTTATGGGCCAGTTGGATTCGTCTGCATATCTGGCAACCTGAGTCAGGGAGCGTGGTAGAGGGTGCAGTACCACGTTTGGCCAGATTTTAATGCGTGTGAGCTCAGCCAGGGACAGGAGCTTAGAATTAGCTGCACAGGCTATATGTATGTAACTGCTGAAACTATGTATGACTACATTGTCCCTGTCAAATAAATAAAAAATACCACTGATACTGATAACACTACTGCTTCTACTAATACTACTAATGCCGGATAGAAAGTCCATTCATTTGTGTTTGACTCCAATTCCACCATGGCCTCATTCTTGTGAGATTCTCTCTGTGTCTGCTTAAGGTTGTTGTTGTCGTTGTTGTAACTCGTCTTATTTTACAGATGTTTCTCTGCTCACAAAAGCACGTAAGTTTAAAACATCTGAGTGGATCACTAACCTCCCTGTTTAACCCTTTGTGAGGAGGGGAAGGAGGGGCCAGAGGGGGAGAAAGCTGTAGGTTCTATTCTAAGACGCTGAGGATGTTTTTGTCTCTGTGGGTGTCTGCAGTACCACATTCTTCCACCAGGGGAAACACCCTCCAGATAACGTATACATTCAAAGAAAAAACTAACAACAAATGAGCTCACGCTTCTATCCCTCTAGCGCCTCTAGTGAGCAGGAGTGTAAATGCACCACCTGTCTGTTCCTCTAGGTTGCTAATGCTGTGAGGCTAACTGACAGAACACCTGCGTTTGCTAATGCTGTGAGGCTAACTGACAGAACACCTGCGTTTGCTAATGCTGTGAGGCTAACTGACAGAACACCTGCGTTTGCTAATGCTGTGAGGCTAACTGACAGAACACCTGCGTTTGCTAATGCTGTGAGGCTAACTGACAGAACACCTGCGTTTGCTAATGTTTGAGGCTAACTGACAGAACACCTGCGTTTGCTAATGCTGTGAGGCTAACTGACAGAACACCTGCGTTTGCTAATGCTGTGAGGCTAACTGACAGAACACCTGCGTTTGCTAATGCTGTGAGGCTAACTGACAGAACACCTGCGTTTGCTAATGCTTTGAGGCTAACTGACAGAACACCTGCGTTTGCTAATGCTGTGAGGCTAACTGACAGAACACCTGCGTTTGCTAATGCTGTGAGGCTAACTGACAACACCTGCGTTTGCTAATGCTTTGAGGCTAACTGACAGAACACCTGCGTTTGCTAATGCTGTGAGGCTAACTGACAGAATACCTGCGTTTGCTAACGCTGTGAGGCTAACTGACAGAATACCTGCGTTTGCTAACGCTGTGAGGCTAACTGACAGAATACCTGCGTTTGCTAACGCTGTGAGGCTAACTGATAGTTTAGTCTCCCCCTCAGCCCTGAGCCGGGTTTTATCCTATTCCACTTTCCCGTCTGAAGGTGTGTGGTTCAATTTTCACCTGTGTGGGCGTGGTCTGTCATTGTGGGTGTGTCCTGTCATTATGGACATGGCCTCTCACCTGTGTGGGTGTGGCTTCTCACTCCTGTGGGCGTGGCCTGTGGGTCCTGATCTTCTTCCTGCCTCTCGTCCTATCACAGCACAGTCCCAGAGCCAGGCCCCGCCCATCCCACCGCGGCAGCTGGAGGCAGCCCTGAATCGGCAGCAAAGGTTTTTCCGGATCCCGTTCATCCGCCCTGGCGACCAGTACAAAGACCAGCACAAAGACCAGATTAAAGACCAGATTAAAGACCCGAGCGGGAAGAAGAAGGGCTGGTGGTATGCACACTTTGACGGCCCCTGGATCGCCCGCCAGATGGAACTGCACCCAGAGAAGCAGCCGATAGTACTGGTGGCAGGTACGCACACACAAGTGTACGCACCAATGTATGTATACTCCTACACTCCTACACAGTCGCAACATGGCCACCATGTTGGTCAGTGTGTTCGAATATAAGATGGAGTCACAACATGTCCGCCATGGACCCATTATCTGCGTGAACACATGTGTTTTTGTTTGTGTGCGTACACGCGTCTGTGTGTCTGTACAAGTGTGTGTGTGTGTGTGTGTGCTTGTCTGTGTACACGTGTTTACAAAGGTGAAAACGACCTGAAGGTGTGTGTGTGTGTGTTTGTGTGTATACCCGTGTGCTTGAGTGTCTAACCTTGTGTTTCCGCAGGTAAAGACGACATGGAGATGTGTGAGCTGAGTCTGGAGGAAACTGGACTTTCTCGCAAACGCGGAGCTGAGATTCTGCCGCGGCAGTTTGAGGAAATCTGGGAACGCTGCGGCGGCAAAGATTATCTCCGGAACGCCATCGAGAACCGGCAAGCCCGGCCCACCTACGCCACCGCCATGCTGCAGTCCGCCTTCCAATGAGAAATACTACACTGCGATACTGCAATACTAGTACTGCGATACTGCAACACTAGTACTGCGAAACTACAATACTAGTACTGCGAAACTACAATACTAGTACTGCGAAACTACAATACTAGTACTGCGACACTACAATACTAGTACTGCGACACTACAATACTAGTACTGCGACACTACAATACTAGTACTGCGACACTACAATACTAGTACTGCAATACTCGTTTACAAAACAAAACTTATTTCTCAATGATTCCAAATGACTTGAATTCACTTGTTTCTTAATTTCACTACTTCCTGTTCCTTGTCACATGGACGTGCCCTCGGCGGCCATGTTGCGACTCATCATACATTCCAAACCACTGACCATTGCGGCGGCCATGTTGTGACTGTATACTCCTACATTCTCATAGATTTTATTTGACAAATTCTCCTAAACGTACGCCTCGTAGATTTCCCCACGTTAAAGTGACGTCTAATGATTTTTGCGTTTGTGTCAAACATTGTGAAACACATTTATGATGGTTTCTGACAAACAGCAGATGGGCAGCTTTCAAATCCAAAATGGACATTCACTGCTACTACTTCACTAGGATACTACTGCTGCTACTACTGCTACTGCTGACCAGGGACCAGAGTGCTGTTGTGACAGACGGTCATATGTAGTGGTTCTATGATGATGATGTTGGAGTAAACAGGAGCAGGGGAAGCAGCAGGAAAACACACAAATACCTGAACCAGTGAATATGATACTGACACCCAATAATCAGACAGTTTGTGAACCTGATCAAAACACTACACAGTAACAGCAGCTAGTACTTTGTGTACTACCTTTAACTCGTGCCATAAAATCTTCTAAAACTCCAAATGAGGTAAAGGGTTTCCCTGCTGGGGATGTCGGCCTGAAGGACTGAGCTTAGACCTGGTCCTTTGTGTTTGCTAACAGTTTCTCTGAGTTTCCTTTGAACTTTGTGGACCAAGTGTTTGATTTAAATATAATTAATGATGAAAGTGTTTTATTTATGTTTGACTTTAACATTTCTGACTCTGATCCTGAACTTTGTCCTGAACATTTTGACTCTTTGAACCAATCATGTTTCACTGAGCGAGTCATAGTTATTTCACTGCTTTAAATACGTCTGACGAGAGGTGGGAGGGGGCGGGGCCACATGTCTCAGGGGGCGGGGTTGGAAGTCGTTCCATTTTCAGTAGATTTTTGTATTTTTCTTTTTACATGTTATACTGTTTCCCAAACTGTGGTCCGTGGCTCATCCTCATCTTTCTCTCAAGTTTGAAAAATAATAAACACTGAAATAATCATTGACTGCATCCGAATTCACACAAGACCCCTCTCTCTTCTCTCCTCCCTCTCTTCTCTCCTCCCTCTCTCCTCAATCCTCTCCCTCTCCTCACTCTCCTCTCTCTCTCCTCTCTCCTCACTCCTCACTCCTCTCTCTCCTCACTCTCCTCTCTCTCTCCTCTCTCTCCTCACTCCTCTCTCTCTCTCTCCTCTTGTGTGCCTCCTGCTGCAATCGTTTTTACTCGAAGCCTTAACGATCGTCACAGGGTTTAAACACATTCTTTTAAAGCTATCCTGTTTTTTTGTTTTGCTGCATGATCCGTGTCAACCTCCCCTCCTCCTCCCCTCCTCTCTCCTCCTCTTAAACGTAAACTTATGCAAATGTATTTGTGAATGATTTGGTTTAATGCTTTGTTGATGAACGAATGAAGTGACGCAATAAAATCACTAAAACACAAGAGTCAAGTTTATGAGCAAGATCATATTCTGAGAGATCTCTCCCCGGGCCGAAGAGGAGAAGGAGGAAGAGGAAGGAGGAGGAGGAGGAGAACTGGGGGACTGCAGCTAATTGGAAAAAAAGCACTGGCGACAGATCTACAGCCGTGGTCCTGGGTCTAAGCTGTGATCAACCTCAGGTCCACTGAGGAGGGGGTTATACATTTCCCACATGTTTCATGGTGTTCTGTACTTCAATGAAATACAACTGTTTCTACAACGAAGGTCATACGTCACTAACCTGGGACCAAGGTCATGGCGCCACCATGGGGACAAAAATATTAGCAGAACTTGTTCATATTTGGGCATCGTCTGGTCCTCCCGGTTCTGCACTGTGGATGAGTTTCCATGATGCTTTGCGTCAAATACGCGTGTGTGGCTCTCATGCACTGCACGGAGGGGCTCGGCCTCGTTTGGGACCTTCGAACCCAGGAGATTCTTCTCGAGAAGTGAGAGTGCGTTCCACTCGGCCACTGTGCCGCTGAGTGGTTACTACTGTTTAAATTTGAGATTTGCTGCGACTTTATGCCATGGGCTTTTTAAGGCATATTGTGCAGTTTTTCACAAGCCTAACTAACTTGGCTACTCTGACCAGGCCCCCAAAGTCTCATTAGCTCGCTCGCTACACCTAGACATGCCCTGATGTCCCTCATGTAAAGCTTCTAGGACTGAGTTGCAAATAGTAATTGGAATTCTTAGTCTGCTCCCGTTCAATAACAGCTGTTTGTGAACTGTGAATGTGTCTGTGTGGCCAATATGCTTTAAGTGAACCTGTGAGATGGCTGTAATCTGGCCAGCCTCTGACAGAATCTCATTACTTATGAACAAACACTGGGCCTCATTCACGAACGGTTCTTAGGAACAGATTTGTACGTAAATCCTACTTACGAGGTTTTTACGAAGAAAGTGGCATTCACGAATTTTTCTCGTAACCAGAATTTCTCTTGGGCAAGTACAAATCCTACGAGTCCTCAGGAGCACTCGTACGCATTCAGTGCCGACATGTTCACACGCCGGGGTTGTCCTCTTTGGTGAAGTTTAATAAAAATACAACATTCCAGTGATATGTCCGTCATATTGATGTATGTATTTATTTATTTAAATGTTAATGGTAATTTAGCCTTTTTTTTAATTCATTTTGAAATGAAATGTGCCAACGCTTTATCAAATACATTGGAAATCATGCCGTGTATTACAGTAGTGACCCCATCCTATTTATAGGGGGCATTTCTTTATCCACGGGCCACAGAACAATGGAATATATACTGCACTGGGGTCTCCATACGGGTCCGTGCTGCACGCTCCTGGATCCAAACGGGTCCGCGCTGGTCTCTCCAGTCTGGTCTATGCGGTCTCTCTTCTTCAGTCAGGTCTCTCAGTCTATGCGGTCTCTCCTGTCCGCGCTGGTTTCTGTGTGCTGGTCACTCCAGTCTCTCCTCGGGTCTGCATTGGTCTCAGCGCTGGATCTCCTCCCAGCGTCCAAAATATGTTTAGATTAATCTCAAAACATTTTGAGATTCATTTTTAAATTAATACATAATATATTTTTACATTTATCTCATAGCATTTTGAGATTAATCTCATCATATTTTTAGATTAATCTCATCATTTTGCTAGTTCGACTTTATTCTCAAAATATTTCGACTTTTAAGTCACCATTTTATGACTTTATTCCTAGTCTGGCAAAAGAAGAAAAAAGGGTGACTCTTTTGCTCCGTGTAACTCTGCTTTAGGCCTGTTGCTGTTTCCTCTGGCGTCTGTACACGGCCCTGCAGTCCCTTATATGGGCATTAATGGGCGGTTACCTATGCTAAGTACCTATGGTAATGAAGCACCGGGCACGCGCGCTCTACTTACAAGGAGTTTGCATTCATCAATCTGAGAGAACAGCTGCGAACAATTCAGCGGCTTACGAGCGCGTTGATGAATCCCACGTAGGGTCTTCTTAGAAATCTACTGAAGAACGACTTAAGAAGAAATTTAAGAAGTTTCTTACAAAGTTATTTGTGAATGAGGCCCACTGTCTGTTCTTAAGTTGCGCTGTACTGTACATGTTAAGCTTGCCGGAAGACTGTTCACTATCGCATCTACATAAATGTTTGTGTCTGATAAAGTTCTGCTGTGGCTTTTGCTGTAAAGAGAGCTTTACCTGGTGTATGTGAGATGTAGCTGTACCTCATAAGTCCAAGTCGAAACCGTTGAATTCTTGGAAGTGTGGTTAAAGCTTGTAGACCTATCAGGCTAACAAGTGGCTTATGATCAGTTTATGAATCTTTCACATCCCCCCTTTAATCCCAGTGCTTATATTTCTACCTGCGCATATCTGCTCTGTTTCTGTAAAGAGAGCGTGGTGCGTGCGCTACAGGCCTCCACTGCTCACCCTCACTTTGAAACAGAACTGCTCCCAGTGCATAAGAAGCTGGTCCAAAACTGTGCAGTACTCCTCATCACACACACACACCCTCCATCGACCACATCACCCCTGTCCTACAACAACTCCACTAGCTCCCACCGCTTCCAGAACAAAATCCTGCTTCTCACCTTCAAAACTATTCACAACCTCGCCCCTCCATATCTCTTTGAGCTCCTCCACATCTCCACACCAGCCTGCTCCCTCCACTCCTCCTCCTCCTCCTCCTCCTCCTCCTCCTCCTCCCCTCCCCAGCTCCTGGTCCCTCCTGCCCGCCTCATCTCTATAGCTCTGGAACACTCTCCCCCTGAGCTCCGAAACACTGACTCACTTCCACACTTCCAAAACTGCACTTAAAAACTTTTCAAACTGGCCAATTTACTATGACCCAACATTTCACGTCCATTTTTAACTGTGTACCCTTTAATAAATAAAATGTTGTATTATTATTATAATAATTATTATTATTATTATTAATCGCTTGTTCCAGGGTCAAATCTTTGTCCCTTTGTAGTCTCTCAGACCCACTACAATACGATCTCTTAAAAACTTGTGCAGTTTTCAGCCGGAGCAGTTTAAAGGAGTCAATAGTCACAATAGTTTTCTCTGATTAAATCTGGCTTTTTCATTGATAATGTCCTTTCTGGGCACAAAAAAGTGTCCAACATGTCTTTGACTGGCTCGTAAAATAAATACTTTAGTGATCTCTGTAGGAGAATTTCAGGTGTCCAGTAGAAGCATAACAAAGTGTATAAATAAACGTCGTCCACTTGCAGTAGATGAGCGTGTTAGCTTGATTAGCTTCTGAGCTAAGATGTAGAGTGCTTGCTAATCTGAATCTCAAACTTGCGTATCCACTTCTCCCGTTATTGTGTCTTGGAGAAATCAATCGGTTCAGGAGGTTGGATGGTGACTGTGGCGCTTGGATGTGTATTAGCCTTTGCCTGTTGCTGGGGCTGGGGCCCCTGCACACCTCGGGCGCTACCCTGGGCTTTGGTCGACTTTTTTTTCTCGTCTCGGAGTCAACTCACTTTTCACTCTCAGATCTTCACTTTCACTCTCTGCCACGTACGCTCTGACTGCGGCTCCACGTCTGACCCCATGTCGTGATATAGACTTCAGGATTCAGGCGACACGTCGTGGAGTAACTTCACAGGTTTATTTTACGTCCTTCGGACTATTGAACAAGTGAAAGTGTCTGCTCAACACTTCACGTACTTCAACCGTCACAATAAGACACACACACAGTGCTCTTAACAACAGCCCACATTCTTTATTTCCTTTAGAGACGGGAATGTTAAATACAGGATTCAATCCCAAAGGTCGTCTCCTCCGAGGTTCGTTTAGAAAAAGTCTAGTTTTCATCGTTACTTCCACGACTGTGAGGACCCGGGTCTGGGACTGAGAGGACCCGGGTCTGGGACTGAGAGGACCCGGGTCTGGGACTGTGAGGACCCGGGTCTGGGACTGAGAGGATCTGGATCTGGGACCTTGCAGCTGCGGAGCGTCCCCCTAGAGTTTAAGTTCAACAGTTCACCGGAACGATGACACAGGGTCCTGTTTCTCACCATTTATGTCTTAATTATTTTATTCTTTATCCAAACTTTCATTTGCTTCTTTTGATCCCTGCTTAGACAGACTAACCCAGCTGTGGTGATGTCACACTGTGGTGATGTCACACTGTGGTGATGTCACACTCTGGTGATGTCACACTCTAATGATGTCACACTGTGGTGATGTCACACTCTGGTAGAGCATTTGTTTGTGAATAAAAAACATAAAAACCGTTTTAATGATTTTATTTTCATAAACCACAAACTTTGATGTCACTTTCTGTAAAAAAATGAAATTCAACTTTTGTCAAAAACTAAAACAGTAAAAACTAAAATCACAAAAACAACAAACTTCAGTTTGAGACAAAGTCAAGTTTTTCTAAAAACAAAGATTTTTATTTTTTCAGTTTTTCTCCAAAATGAAAATGAAAATATTCCAGTGTCAGATCTGAGGAAGAGAGAACACCTGTGTGAAGCACTGGTAGAACATGCAAACACAGACACAGGGAGAACATGCAGGTCAGTTTGGTTCTGTGATGTCACCGCTCATGTGTTGCAGCTGAAGTCCTGGTCCAGACCTGGTTCAGACCAGGTCCAGACCTGGTCAGGACCTCTGTCTAACTCCAGACTGGGACCTCCACTCGCCCTTTGTGTCTGAGGAGAGAGAGAGGATTGTGTTGCCATGGGAACAGATTGCACAAAAGTATTTATATTCCACCAGGCTCTGCACATCTAGAGACTGACAGTTTGGGCCTATTCCTCTTTAGAAAACAGCTCGGTCAGGTTAGAGAAGTTTCATAGAAATTCACTTCTAGACTCTGACACTCTTCCATGTCCCAACTACTAACCCTCCAGTGCAAGTCTTCATCTCTGACCTCAGTCCTGGGTCTACAGCCTCAGTCCTGGGTCTACAGCCTCAGTCCTGGGTCTACAGCCTCAGTCCTGGGTCTACAGTCTCAGTCCTGGATCTACAGCCTCAGTCCTGGATCTACAGCCTCAGTCCTGGATCTACAACCTCAGTCCTGGATCTACAGCCTCAGTCCTGGATCTACAGCCTCAGTCCTGGATCTACAACCTCAGTCCTGGATCTACAGCCTCAGTCCTGGGTCTACAGCCTCAGTCCTGGGTCATGTTTGTGGTAAAAACTGCAGAATGTAATGTTCTCGCTGCTGCAGAGTGAGGCCTCTTCACTCAAGAGCACAGTATTTATAGTCAAGAGCAGCAGGATCTAACACAAAATAAGTCCTGGTTCAGACCTGGTTCAGACCTGGTTCAGACCTAGTTCAGACCTAGTTCAGACCTGCACAGTGGGTTCCTGGTTCCTGGGTCCAGTCTGCAGGTGAAGGACTCTGGACAGGAGAAGAACTTACAGGGATCTGCTCTGTCAGCTGCAGAGACAAGAAGCAAAGAGATGCATGAGAGACAAGAGAGAGAGACCAGAGAGAGACCAGAGAGGGAGAGACCAGAGAGAGAGAGACCAGAGAGAGACCAGAGAGAGACCAGAGGGAGAGACCAGAGAGAGAGAGACCAGAGAGAGAGAGACCAGAGAGAGAGAGACCAGAGAGAGAGACCAGAGAGGGAGAGACCAGAGAGAGAGAGACCAGAGAGAGACCAGAGAGAGACCAGAGGGAGAGACCAGAGAGAGAGAGACCAGAGAGAGAGAGACCAGAGAGAGAGAGAGACCAGAGAGAGACCAGAGGGAGAGACCAGAGAGAGAGAGACCAGAGAGGGAGAGACCAGAGAGAGACCAGAGAGAGACCAGAGATAGACCAGAGACTGGTACCTGGTTCCACGTCCAGGCTCTGCTGGTCGATCAGGATGCTCCGCCTCCTCGCGGCGTTGGAGAACTCTTCCAGGACGTTGTGGACGGCGGCCGTGACATTATACGGAACAGAGCGAGTGAAACGCATCTTACTGTGAACCACCACAGAACCTCTGCGGAACGACAGAACCTCCAGGGCCCGGAACCCTGACAGCTGGTCCTGCAGGTACGGCAGCAGCTGAGGAGGGAGCAAGGTTATTTATGTAGCACAGATGGGGCTGCAGGTACCAGCTGCCTCAGCTTTTTATGATGCGACTCACAGCAGACAAAGCAAACCAAGATGGCGGACATAAAGTCTGGTGAATGAAATCTGAGACGAGATGAGGATGGTTCCATGTGGTGATGTGGGTTTTAAGAGTAAATGTTTTGTGTAGTATTCAACGGCTCCTGTCAGACCACACTACTGTGTGATAGAAGTCCGTTCTTGTCGAGTTGAACTCCCGCTGACGTCATTTTACTGACGTAGGCCGATACATTCATTAATATTCCCATATCAACCTGTTAGCTCCATGTTTGGCTAACGGCTATCGAGTTAGCCACAGGACGCATTATCGTCCTACGTCAGTAAAATCACGCATGACTGCTATCACACAGTAGTGTGGTCTGACAGGAGTCAATATGACTGCTATCACACAGTAGTGTGGTCTGACAGGAGTCAAGTAAACCAAACTTTACACAAAACCTTCTCTCTTCAAACCCACATTCCAAAAACAAAACCATCAACATCTCGTCTCAAATTTAATAAAAAATGACATTTGTGTCTAAATTCACAACTTTATGTCCGCCATCTTGGTTTTGGTTTACTTTGGCTGCAGTGAGTTGCATAGGTTTGTGTTGCATCATAAACAGCTGAGGCAACACAACTGTGTCACAAACATAGACTGTAGTCACAGAGTCACGCCTATCTCTGCCGTTCTAACTAATGGGCCAAAAAATGTGCTCTACTGGAGCAATCCAAAATGGCCGCGAGTGGTCCCGCCCACAAGAAAATTGTGAAAAAACGCATCTACACATGCGTCAGCCGGCGCAGCTCCATTCATTTGAACGAGAGACTTCAAGAGAATTCACAGCAAGTAAACTAGAGTGGACCATAAAAATCCACCCCCCTCAGCATTGACACACATGTGGAACGGAGCTTTGGGCCAAGAGCCAACTTTTGGTCCGTCCTGAAAAGACGTTTTTGGGGAGGTCTGCCAATGCTATATGTTAGCATTGGCTAATTCTTCTTCTGGGTCCACCCCCATCGGCCCGGGGTGGTATTGCAGCATGTCAGTGCTCGTCATTTTGGACATTTTTGAGCTGGGACCCTCCCCCACTGGTCACAAACCGACAGAACACCGGCAGCAGCTGAGGAGGGGAGCAAGGTTATTTATGTAGCACAGGATCCACAATCACCGAGACAGGAAACAGTTACAATAGTTCAGTTTTTGCAGATGGAAATAAAAGAGGAGAGGAGGTGGAGGAGAGGGGATGGAGGAGAGTGGGTGGAGGAGAGGGGGTGGAGGAGAGGAGAGGAGGTGGAGGAGAGGGGATGGAGGAGAGTGGGTGGAGGAGAGGGGGTGGAGGAGAGGAGAGCAGGTGGAGGAGAGGAGGTGGAGGAGAGGAGAGGAGGTGGAGGAGAGGAGGAGAGGAGAGGAGGTGGAGGAGAGGAGAGGAGGTGGAGGAGAGGGGATGGAGGAGAGTGGGTGGAGGAGAGGGGGTGGAGGAGAGGAGAGGAGGTGGAGGAGAGGAGGTGGAGGAGAGGAGGTGGAGCTTCATACACATTTCCACAGACAGTAATCGGTCTTCATCCTCATCATCATCTCTGACCCTGAGACAGACACTCGTTCACGGTAATAAATTAGAGATAATGATGTTTACAATGTCACAGTTAAAGCAGACGCAGAGAGACCAGAGCGAGACCAGAGCGAGACCAGAGAGAGACCAGAGCGAGACCAGAGAGAGACCAGAGAGAGACCAGAGACCGAAACCAGAGGGAGAGACCAGAGGGGGATACCAGAGACAGACCAGAGGGAGAGACCAGAGACAGACCAGAGGGAGAGACCAGAGACAGACCAGAGGGAGAGACCAGAGGGAGAGACCAGAGGGAGAGACCAGAGGGAGAGACCAGAGGGAGAGACCAGAGGGAGATACCAGAGACAGACCAGAGGGAGAGACCAGAGACAGACCAGAGGGAGATACCAGAGACAGACCAGAGGGAGAGACCAGAGACAGACCAGAGGGAGAGACCAGAGGGAGAGACCAGAGGGAGAGACAAGAGGGAGAGACCAGAACGAGACCAGAAAGAGAGACCAGAGACCGAGACCAGAAAGAGAGACCAGAGAGAGACCTGAGGGAGAGACCAGAGGGAGAGACCAGAGAGAGAGACCAGAGAGAGAGACCAGAGAGAGCTCCTACCATGTCTGTGAACTTTGCCTCCAGCTCCTTGTATTCCTCTGACGTCTTGTTGAACAGGTCTTCGCTGAAGCGCAGGTTTGTGACCCTCAGGCTGAAGAACACCACCAGCTCCGCGGCGCTCTGTGATGATGTCATAGTGGGTGTGGTCAGGTAGGACAGAGAGGGCGGAGTCACACTGGCCAGCGGGTCGTCCAGAGCACTCCCCTCCTCCTGCTCCACTGCGGACGAGAGGAAAGAGCATCACACTTGGGGGCTCTCTCTGGTCTGTTTCTTTTTGGTCTCTCTCTCTGGTCTCTCTCAGGGCTCTCTCTCTGGTCTCTCTCTCTGGTCTCTCTCTGGTCTCTTTCTGGTCTCTCTCTCTGGTCTCTCTCAGGGCTCTCTCTGGTCTCTCTCTGGTCTCTCTCTGCTCTCTCTCTGCTCTCTCTCTGCTCTCTCTCTGCTCTCTCTCTGGTCTCTCTCTGGTCTCTCTCTCTGGTCTCTCTCAGGGCTCTCTCTGGTCTCTCTCTGGTCTCTCTCTGGTCTCTCTCTCTGGTCTCTCTCTCTGGTCTCTCTCTCTGGTCTCTCTCAGGGCTCTCTCTGGTCTCTCTCTGGTCTCTCTCTGGTCTCTCTCTGCTCTCTCTCTGCTCTCTCTCTGGTCTCTCTCTCTGGTCTCTCTCAGGGCTCTCTCTGGTCTCTCTCTGGTCTCTCTCTCTGGTCTCTCTCTGGTCTCTCTCTGGTCTCTCTCTGGTCTCTCTCGGGTCTCACTCTCTGGTCTCTCTCTGCTCTCTCTCTGGTCTCTCTCTGGTCTCTCTCTGGTCTCTCTCTGGTCTCTCTCTCAGGGCTCTCTCTGGTCTCTCTCTGGTCTCTCTCTCTGGTCTCTCTCTCTGGTCTCTCTCTCTGGTCTCTCTCAGGTCTCTCTCAGGTCTCTCTCTGGTCTCTCTCTGGTCTCTCTCTGGTCTCTCTCTCTGGTCTCTCTCTCTGGTCTCTCTCAGGTCTCTCTCTGGTCACTCTCTGGTCTCTCTCTGGTCTCTCTCTGGTCTCTCTCTCTGGTCTCTCTCTCTGGTCTCTCTCTGGTCTCTCTCTGGTCTCACTCTCTGGTCTCTCTCTGGTCTCTCTCTGGTCTCTCTCTGGTCTCTCTCTGGTCTCTCTCTGGTCTCTCTCTGGTCTCTCTCTGGTCTCTCTCTGGTCTCTCTCTGGTCTCTCTCTGGTCTCTCTCTGGTCTCTCTCTGGTCTCTCTCTGGTCTCTCTCTGGTCACTCTCGGGTCTCACCTGGTCACTCTGGTCTCTCTCTGGTCTCACCTGGTGTTCCTGGTTCCTCAGAGTGACGTGGAGAGTGCAGTGACACAGGGAGACAAGCTGAGGGCGCTGAAGAGCAGACGCCCTCCTCGCAGCGCCCCCACAGGAACACTTAGGTACTGCACCCACATGGTCTCATCATACACCAGCTACACTATGCTTCCCACATGGTCCAGCTCCAACCAATCAGAGAGCGGGGGAGGCGGGTGTTGTAGGTTGGTGTCTGAATTTCCGCTGCTTGACTTTAATAAATCTGCCGTTCAGCTACGATTGGACAAACACAGGTGGAAGTGGGCGGAGCTTTGATGCTAACGAGTTTAAGCTAACAGCTGTTGGTGTAAAGTGCAGCTGTGTCTGAGATCCATATAACAACAGTATTATTATTATTATTATTATTATTATTACTACACATTATTCACACAGCACCCTTCGTACTATGTAAGTGATTCTGGGTGCTGATTGGCTGGTTGCTCTTGTGCTATGTAAGTGATTCTGAATGCTGATTGGCTGGTTGCTCTTGTGCTATGTAAGTGATTCTGAATGCTGATTGGCTGGTTGCTCTTGTGCTATGTAAGTGATTCTGGGTGCTGATTGGCTGGTTGCTCTTGTGCTATGTAAGTGATTCTGAATGCTGATTGGCTGGTTGCTCTTGTGCTATGTAAGTGATTCTGAATGCTGATTGGCTGGTTGCTCTTGTGCTATGTAAGTGATTCTGAATGCTGATTGGCTGGTTGCTCTTGTGCTATGTAAGTGATTCTGAATGCTGATTGGCTGGTTGCTCTTGTGCTATGTAAGTGATTCTGAATGCTGATTGGCTGGTTGCTCTTGTGCTATGTAAGTGATTCTGAATGCTGATTGGCTGGTTGCTCTTGTGCTATGTAAGTGATTCTGGATGCTGATTGGCTGCTTCGTCTTGGCCTGTGTAAGTGATTCTGGATGCTGATTGGCTGCTTCGTCTTGGACTGTGTAAGTGTTTCTGGATGCTGATTGGCTGCTTCGTCTTGGCCTGTGTAAGTGATTCTGGATGCTGATTGGCTGGTTGCTCTTGTGCTCAGTGTCGGTGGGCGGAGCTCAGTTCAGCCTGTTGTGTGTTTCAGAGTGGACGAGATGAAACACAGCCACAGCTCCACACATCCACTCAGGTACTGTCACTGCTACAGAGGGACAATGCTAACGCTAACTCTATGCTAACTCTGATCTGTTGTGCTCAGGTTGTCCATGGGCGCCTCGTCTCCTCTCAAATCCTCAAAGTTCCCATCATCCTCTGCTTCTGCTGCGGCAAAACGTATCGGCAGGAGCTCGTCGGGTGCCACCTCCAACCTCCGCAGGTCTGAGGACATGGTCTCTGTTTGGTCTATCTCTCTGGTCTCTCTCTCTGGTCTCTCTCTCTCTCTCTCTGGTCTCTCTCTGGTCTCTCTCTGGTCTCTCTCTCTGGTCTCTCTCTGGTCTCTCTCTCTGGTCTCTCTCTGGTCTCTCTCTGGTCTCTCTCTCTGGTCTCTCTCTGGTCTCTCTCTGGTCTCTCTCTGGTCTCTCTCTGGTCTATCTCTCTGGTCTATCTCTCTGGTCTCTCTCTCTGGTCTCTCTCTTGTCTCTCTCTGGTCTCTCTCTGGTCTCTCTCTGGTCTCTCTCTGGTCTCTCTCTGGTCTCTCTCTGGTCTCTCTCTGGTCTCTCTCTGGTCTCTCTCTTGTCTCTCTCTGGTCTCTCTCTGGTCTCTCTCTGGTCTCTCTCTGGTCTCTCTCTGGTCTCTCTGGTCTATCTCTCTGGTCTCTCTCTCTGGTCTCTCTCTGGTCTCTCTCTCTGGTCTCTCTCTCTGGTCTCTCTCTCTGGTCTCTCTCTCTGGTCTCTCTCTGGTCTCTCTCTGGTCTCTCTCTGGTCTCTCTCTGGTCTCTCTCTGGTCTCTCTCTCTGGTCTCTCTCTGGTCTCTCTCTGGTCTCTCTCTGGTCTCTCTCTCTGGTCTCTCTCTCTGGTCTCTCTCTCTGGTCTCTCTCTCTGGTCTCTCTCTCTGGTCTCTCTCTGGTCTCTCTCTGGTCTCTCTCTCTGGTCTCTCTCTGGTCTCTCTCTCTGGTCTCTCTCTGGTCTCTCTCTGGTCTCTCTCTGGTCTCTCTCTGGTCTCTCTCTCTGGTCTCTCTCTCTGGTCTCTCTCTCTGGTCTCTCTCTCTGGTCTCTCTCTGGTCCCTTTCTGGTCTCTTAAAACTAGTGAATACTGACTTAGAGCCAGGAACCAGATAATTTATTACAAACTTAGTTATGTTTTCTTAAAGTCCAGTACCCAATCTTTAATTCCGACATGTTTTAAATGTTGTGTCTGTGGTGACTCCGCCCCCTCCCCCTCCTCACACCTGTAGCTCCGCCCTCAGCTCGCGATTGGCCAGCTCCCTCAGCGATCTGTACGCATCACTCCCCGCTGGCTCCGCCCCCACGCCCCGTCTCTACGGCAACCGGCCTGAAGTAAACAACAACAACAGCCTCGTTAGCGGGCTCGTTAGCGCGCCAGGAGTGGGAGGGGCTCTGTACGCGGGGTCCTCTGTTGCCACGGCGACAGGGAAGAGCCGGGAGTGGGCTGGGCCTCACCGGGCGACAAGTGGCGTCCATGGCGGCCTGAAGAGCGGGCGCTACCTCAGCCGCTCCATCCCTGTAAGTGCTCAGCAGCAGCTCTGATTGGTCCATTTGAATCTGTGCACTCACAAATCTGTCCTCGCATTGGTGCTTTGTGCTGTGATGTCACCAACACGTGGTCATTGATGTCATTGGGAGAGGTAGTGATGTCACTGGGAGAGGTAGTGATGTCACTGGGAGAGGTAGTCACTGGGAGAGGTAGTGATGTCATTGGGAGAGGTAGTGATGTCACTGGGAGAGGTAGTGATGTCACTGGGAGAGGTAGTGATGTCACTGGGAGAGGTGGTGATGTCACTGGGAGAGGTGGTGATGTCACTGGGAGAGGTAGTGATGTCATTGGGAGAGGTAGTGATGTCATTGGGAGAGGTAGTGATGTCATTGGGAGAGGTAGTGATGTCATTGGGAGAGGTAGTGATGTCACTGGGAGAGGTAGTGATGTCATTGGGAGAGGTAGTGATGTCATTGGGAGAGGTAGTGATGTCACTGGGAGAGGTAGTCACTGGGAGAGGTAGTGTTGTCACTGGGAGAGGTAGTGATGTCACTGGGAGAGGTAGTGATGTCACTGGGAGAGGTAGTGATGTCACTGGGAGAGGTAGTGATGTCACTGGGAGAGGTAGTGATGTCATTGGGAGAGGTAGTGATGTCACCGGTGCGTTGGTCCAGGGTTTCTCTTCTATCTGTGATGGTTCTGGGACATTAACACTTTATATTCATACAGCTTTCTCTAACCCGGGTTCTGTTCGTCACCTGGTGAGAGAGAGACCAGAGAGAGAGACCAGAGAGAGAGAGAACGAGATAGACCAGAGAGACCAGATCCCAGAGAGAGAAAGGGAGAGACCAGAGAGAGAGAGACCAGAGAGGGAGAGACCAGAGAGAGGGAGAGACCAGAGAGAGAGAGAGACCAGAGAGGGAGAGACCAGAGAGAGGGAGAGACCAGAGAGAGAGAGAGACCAGAGAGAGAGAGAGACCAGAGAGAGAGAGAGACCAGATAGGGAGAGACCAGATAGGGAGAGACCAGAGAGGGAGAGACCAGAGAGGGAGAGACCAGAGAGGGAGAGACCAGAGAGGGAGAGACCAGAGAGGGAGAGACCAGAGATTAAGGCCTCTAAATCCACGGTGGTGGTGAAGTCGTTCTTCTGGTTTCTGTGTGACTTGAATCTGAAGCTGCTGCTGAACAGGAGCACCAGGAGGAAATCCTGCTGGTGTCAGGGGGAATGACAGGCGTCTGTGGACCTCATCCTGAGTGAAAACCAGGAACAACATTGGAGCAGAGGTCTTTGGTTCTAAAAGTCGTGGGTTAGATTCCTGCTCCCACTGACGTCTGCTGCTGTTGTGCCTCTGAGCAAGACACTTTCCTCGCTCTGCCACAGAACTGCACATTACACTGTGGACAAGCTAATGTGGCTAACTGCTGCTAGTGTGTCGCTATGCTAACAGCCACTGGTCCCAGAGAGACCAGAGAGAGACACCAGAGAGAGACACCAGAGAGAGACACCAGAGAGAGACACCAGAGAGAGACACCAGAGAGAGGGACCAGAGAGAGGGACCAGAGAGAGGGACCAGAGAGAGGGACCAGAGAGAGGGACCAGAGAGAGGGACCAGAGAGAGGGACCAGAGAGAGGGACCAGAGAGAGGGACCAGAGAGAGGGACCAGAGAGAGGGACCAGAGAGAGGGACCAGAGAGAGGGACCAGAGAGAGAGAGGGAGACCAGCTCCTCTGTGGAGTAACTGTCACATTTTTCTGTTAATGAAAGTCACAGACCTCAGCTTTAATGAGAAACCCTGTCTCTGTTGCAGTCTCTTCAGTCGGACTTCATCCAGTACTAAGATCTCCACATGAACTCCATCTCCCAGAATCCTTTGCTGCTGCGCTCCTCGTGTACAGAGAGAACTATGTAGATAAAGAAGATTATTTTGTATCCACAGAATCCTGTATTTTTGCTTTTAGGGTTTTTATATTTGACAAGCTCAGAGTATTCTCCGTCCTGATTGGTGGATCCAAGGCCTCTGATTGGTGGATCCAAGGCCTCTGATTGGTGGATCCAAGGCCTCTGATTGGTGGATCCAAGGCCTCTGATTGGTGGATCCACGGCCTCTGATGGGCCGGACTTAAAGGGACTGAACTCAGGAAACGATTGTCTTAATATTCAGAGATGTTTATTTTAGAGTTGAACATGTTTTAATCTAATCACTGTTTGAAGCTTTTACACGTAAAGCATGTTATTTTTCTAAACTTCCTGTTGGAATCATATGAGTGTTTTTAGACTCGTGTCGATCATGGATTTATCTCATTTAAATCAGTCTTTGATCTTTGCACAAAACTGTTTTTACTGTTTCATGTTTTAGAATGTAGCACAAGTGAAACTGCTTTCTGCCACCAGGGGGCGGAGCCTAGAGCCTCCCTCTGCTATGATTGGATAATCTGCTGACAGATAGACACGTGTGTGTGTGTCATGTGACTGTTATAGACACACGTGTGTATCATGTGACTGTTATAGACACACGTGTGTGTCATGTGACTGTTATAGACACACGTGTGTATCATGTGACTGTTAGACACACGTGTGTATCATGTGACTGTTAGACACACGTGTGTGTCATGTGACTGTTATAGACACACGTGTGTGTCATGTGACTGTTATAGACACACGTGTGTGTCATGTGACTGTTATAGACACACGTGTGTGTCATGTGACTGTTAGACACGTGTGTGTCATGTGACTGTTATAGACACACGTGTGTGTCATGTGACTGTTATAGACACACGTGTGTGTCATGTGACTGTTATAGACACATGTGTGTCATGTGACTGTTATAGACACACGTGTGTGTCATGTGACTGTTATAGACACATGTGTGTCATGTGACTGTTATAGACACACGTGTGTGTCATGTGACTGTTATAGACACATGTGTGTCATGTGACTGTTATAGACACGTGTGTGTCATGTGACTGTTATAGACACATGTGTGTGTCATGTGACTGTTATAGACACATGTGTGTGTCATGTGACTGTTATAGACACACGTGTGTGTCATGTGACTGTTATAGACACACGTGTGTGTCATGTGACTGTTATAGACACACGTGTGTGTCATGTGACTGTTATAGACACACGTGTGTGTCATGTGACTGTTATAGACACACGTGTGTGTCATGTGACTGTTATAGACACACGTGTGTGTCATGTGACTGTTATAGACACATGTGTGTGTCATGTGACTGTTAGACACACGTGTGTGTCATGTGACTGTTATAGACACACGTGTGTGTCATGTGACTGTTATAGACACACGTGTGTGTCATGTGACTGTTATAGACACATGTGTGTGTCATGTGACTGTTAGACACACGTGTGTGTCATGTGACTGTTAGACACACGTGTGTGTCATGTGACTGTTATAGACACACGTGTGTGTCATGTGACTGTTATAGACACACGTGTGTGTCATGTGACTGTTATAGACACACGTGTGTGTCATGTGACTGTTATAGACACACGTGTGTGTCATGTGACTGTTATAGACACACGTGTGTGTCATGTGACTGTTATAGACACACGTGTGTGTCATGTGACTGTTATAGACACACGTGTGTGTCATGTGACTGTTATAGACACACGTGTGTGTCATGTGACAAGGACATACGTGTGACGTGCCTTAAACAAAACAGAGATGAAGTTATTCTTGAGTTGAAGCCGCTGCAGAAAAATAAAAAATTTTGCTCAGTTTGTGTGTGTTTTTCCTTTGATCTGCTTCACTTCAAACACACAATATCAACATTAAAGCTGCAAGCGGCATCCAACGGCCCTCACTCAGGATGAGCTTCTGCCTGATTGGGCTGGTCCTGGACCAGGTATGAGTCTGCTGTAAACATCTGCATCAGGACATCATCACAAAGAAGAGAAACATGTGACATCACCTTCACCTGAGTGTAGTATGTTAGTTAAACCGGGGGACCTGACCTGCTTTAGACCTGCTTTAGTCCTGCTTTAGACCTGCTTTAGTCCTGCTTTAGTCCTGCTTTAGACCTGCTTTAGTCCTGCTTTAGACCTGCTTTAGTCCTGCTTTAGACCTGCTTTAAACCTGCTTGAGTCCTGCTTTAGTCCTGCTTTAGTCCTGCTTTAAACCTGCTTTAGACCTGCTTTAGACCTGCTTTAGACCTGCTTTAGTCCTGCTTTAGACCTGCTTTAGTCCTGATTTAGACCTGCTTTAGTCCTGCTTTAGACCTGCTTTAGTCCTGCTTTAGTCCTGCTTTAGACCTGCTTTAGACCTGCTTTAGTCCTGCTTTAGACCTGCTTTAGACCTGCTTTAGTCCTGCTTTAGACCTGCTTTAGTCCTGCTTTAGACCTGTTTACTTTAGCCATCTGCTTTAGACCTGCTTTAGACCTGCTTTAGACCTGCTTTAGACCTGCTTTAGACCTGCTTTAGTCCTGCTTTAGTCCTGCTTTAGACCTGCTTTAGACCTGCTTTAGACCTGCTTTAGACCTGCTTTAGACCTGCTTTTAGACCTGCTTTAGTCCTGCTTTTAGTCCTGCTTTAGACCTGCTTTAGGCCTGCTTTAGTCCTGCTTTAGACCTGCTTTAGTCCTGCTTTAGTCATGCTTTAGTCATGCTTTAGTCATGCTTTAGACCTGCTTTAGTCCTGCTTTAGTCATGCTTTAGACCTGCTTTAGACCTGCTTTAGTCATGCTTTAGTCATGCTTTAGACCTGCTTTAGTCATGCTTTAGTCCTGCTTTAGACCTGCTTTAGTCCTGCTTTAGTCATGCTTTAGACCTGCTTTAGACCTGCTTTAGTCATGCTTTAGTCATGCTTTAGACCTGCTTTAGTCCTGCTTTAGTCATGCTTTAGTCCTGCTTTAGACCTGCTTTAGTCCTGCTTTAGACCTGCTTTAGTCATGCTTTAGTCCTGCTTTAGTCCTGCTTTAGACCTGCTTTAGTCATGCTTTAGTCCTGCTTTAGTCCTGCTTTAGTCCTGCTTTAGACCTGCTTTAGTCCTGCTTTAGTCCTGCTTTAGTCATGCTTTAGACCTGCTTTAGTCCTGCTTTAGTCCTGCTTTAGACCTGCTTTAGTCCTGCTTTAGTCCTGCTTTAGTCATGCTTTAGACCTGCTTTAGTCCTGCTTTAGTCATGCTTTAGTCATGCTTTAGACCTGCTTTAGTCCTGCTTTAGTCATGCTTTAGACCTGCTTTAGTCCTGCTTTAGTCATGCTTTAGTCCTGCTTTAGACCTGCTTTAGTCCTGCTTTAGACCTGCTTTAGACCTGCTTTAGTCCTGCTTTAGTCCTGCTTTAGTCCTGCTTTAGACCTGCTTTAGTCCTGCTTTAGTCCTGCTTTAGTCCTGCTTTAGCTGCTTGCTTTAGTCCTGCTTTAGTCCTGCTTTAGTCCTGCTTTAGACCTGCTTTAGTCCTGCTTTAGTCCTGCTTTAGACCTGCTTTAGTCCTGCTTTAGACCTGCTTTAGACCTGCTTTAGTCCTGCTTTAGTCCTGCTTTAGTCCTGCTTTAGTCCTGCTTTAGTCCTGCTTTAGACCTGCTTTAGTCCTGCTTTAGTCCTGCTTTAGACCTGCTTTAGACCTGCTTTAGTCCTGCTTTAGTCCTGCTTTAGTCCTGCTTTAGACCTGCTTTAGTCC